GATAGTCATCAACTTATATTAGGGTAAATAAACAAAATACAAAAATATTTTAAATGAAATATTTACAATAGATTTTTTCAAATTAGAATCTCTATTTATTTAAAATATTTATTTGAAAAAAATATATACTCCCGTCATTTGAAAAAATATCCTTATTTGACTTTCACGTACGTAGTTTAAAAAAATGTTAAAAATAAAAACTTTATAGTTTGAATATATTTAGAAAAAACAAATAAGAGTTGTGAGTTACTCATTCCTTTCTAAAAAGAAAATGAATTTTGAGACATACAAAAAGGAAAAGAGTGTAGTCTTTTTTCGAATGTGACAAAAAAGTATAAAATTCTTTGTAGAATGTAGATAGTATATATATTTTTTCAAATTGATTGAGTATTGTATGTATAACTGATATGAAGTATTACTTGTATTTTGTTTAAATATTTTTTGGAACAAATTAATATTTGTTGTTGTACAAAAAATTTATAATGAAATATTCAATTCATACGTACTATACGTAAGTATACGTATAGTATCAAATATACGTGTATTTTAAAGTATTTTTGAAAATCATACGGATACGTGAGTATAATACGCGTACTATACGTACGTAAGTATAATACGTGTATTATACGCGTATTAACTAACTAGGTGTATAACACACGTATTATACTCACGTATCCGTATGATTTTAAAAAATACTTTAAAATACATATATATTTGACGCTATACGTATAATTACGTATAGTATATGAATCGAATATTTCATTAAAAAAATTTGTACAACAACAAATATTAACTTGTTCTAGAAAATATTTAAACAAAATACGAGTTATACTTTATATCAGTTATATATACAATAATTAATCAATTTGAAAAAAATATAGACTATATACATTCTACAAAAAGATTTACACTTTTTTGTCATGTTAAAAAAACACTTCACTCTTTCCTTATTGTCTGTCTCAAAAAATTCATTTTATTTTTAGAAAGGAATGAGTGACTCCACTACAAAATTTTGCAAAATTTGCGACGGAAAATTTCCGTCACAAACCCTTTCTTTTGGTCGCAGAGTTCAAAATTGCGACAGGTCGGCGACGGAATCCACCCGTCGCAAAATATTTGCGACGGAATTGTAAAGTCGTCGCAGAACTGCGACGGTGTTAGCGACGGCCAAACCAATTTCAGAATCTGCGACAGAATTGTTAGTCCGTCGTAAGTTGCGACGGAATTTGCGACAACAGATCCATGCTTTTTATTTTGTACCTTGCAACGGAAATTGCGACGGAATAAATCCGTCGCAAATGCACCAGATATCAGCAACCTGTTCTGCACCAGATTTCAGCAACCCAACAATACAATAACATTACAACAACATAGCATATAAACAACAGCATTGAAACATCACAATATTATTCAAATTCCTTACGAAACACAAATCATTTCTCAAATTCATTTTCAATCACAACACAATGTTCAATAAAACACATAATTGTCATAAGTTGTTCATGCGACACAACCAGTTCTTGAGCCTCCCATCCCATCATAAGGGTCTCGAGGTGTCGGAAGATTTCCACCACACATCATTCGAATTTGTTCAGCAACTGTCAATTCAATCTTATCTAACCTTGCCTTCATGACTTCGTTCTCCGCTCTCAACCGCTCAAAATAACATGCAACCAAGAATATGTATCTTCTGAACGGGAAGGCCCAACCCGTCAATTAGCTTCTTTGTTTGGTAAAAGCTTTAATTTCAACCATTGTGTTTTCCTCAGGAAGAGCATCTTTAAATAATTGACAAATTGTATCGTAGCACCTTTGTGAGAGATTATGTTCAGATTTAATGTTGAGTAGGCGTGCAGCTGCTGACAATTGTGACATCTTAGAGCACCCTGACCACAAATCCTTATCCGTAGCTTTTAACATCTCAAAGAATTTTTGCGACAAAAGGGCGTGCAACATCGTACACCATATCAATATATTAGTCTCTTCCTTCAGCTCTTGTCACATGTGTGGTATCCCCATGTCGTTCAACTCGTCGCCGTTTGGGTGGAACATAATCACCATGCTTTTCTCCGTGACAAACCCAATCATAATAATTTGGAGTGAAACCAAATCACAGGATATGCTCTATAATGGTTGCATTACTTCCAAACTTTAAATTGTTGCATGACTTACACGGGCAACGCGTGTTATTCTTAGACCGATCAGCATTGGGATTCGAGGAACAAATATCCACAAACTTTATGACATTGTCAACCCATTCTTTACTAACTACACCTTCGGATTCAAATTTATTATACATCCATTCACGATCATCAAATCCAGACATTGTAGCATTAAAATCAACATTGTTTGATACAAAAGAAGCACAAATTGAACAATGCAAATAACATATCAACAATTTGAACTCATTCACAACTTAAAAAGTACAAAAAATAACCACCTACGATAACCAAAATTTTAAGATAAGTTAAGAAGTTTTTCAATATAAAAACTTTAAAAAAAATCCTAGATTCATATCAAATAAAATTTTCCTACAATCATATAAAATAAACATTTCTTACAATGAAATCAAAATTTCCTATTATAAGCATATATGATTAACAAAAAATGGAATATAAACACAATACTTTTTTTAATAATTTACAATGAATCAATTCATCATTATCATGCAATTACAGGAAAAAATGTTCAAGGTAAATTTCACACTTCAATTGAGGGGAAAAAAGTTAGGGTTAGAGTAGTTGTACCTTGGGTCGGCGGACGGTGGACGGAGTTTGGACAGGAGGTGGGTCGGCGGACGGCGTACGTGGCGGCGTGGAGGTCAGAGGTGGACTGCCAAAAGCTCTAGGCGGCGGACGTCTTTCCCCTTTTTGCGTCGTTCGTCTCTTGTATGGTTGAGACTGGAAGAACACGACTTTGAGCGAGGGAGGATAAGATTTTTATTTAAAACCTGCGACGGAAATGGTTCCGTCACAGAAACCGTCGCATGCAATGATTTAAAAAAATTGACCGTCAAATCGTTGCGACAAAACACAACTTCCGTCACAGATCTGCGACGGTTTACCAAATTCCGTCGCAAATAATCCCAAACTTTAAGTTCACTTGTTTTTGTCGCAGATTCTGTCGCAATCTGCGACGGAAAATATCCGTAGCAGATATTCCGTCGCAAATTGAACTAAATCTTGTAGTGCTCACAACTCTTATTTGTTTTTTTCTAAATATATTCAGACTATAAAAATTTTATTTTTAACATTCTTTTTAACTGGGAACGCGAAAGTCAAATAAGGATATTTTTCCTAATGAAGGGAGTATATATTCTTTTTAAATAAATATTTTAAATAAATAGAGATTCTAATTTGAAAAAGTCAATTGTGAATATTTCATTTAAATGATTTTTGTATTTTGTTTATTTAAATTGATGACTATCAATCAATAAATATGTGTAAATTTGACGTATATATATATGATAATATATATAAACATATAATAAGACGTATTTTAAAAATAGAAAACATTTAAAACGCGTACGTATCCGTATCCGTATGCCGAACGTTTAATATGCATAGTAAGCCGTATTTTATAAAATTCTAACGTATTATACACGAACATACGTATTGACGTATTATACGTCTGCCGTATATTACTAACTATAATCATTGGACTCTTCACTCTTGGACCGATTGAAAATAAAATGGACTATTCGGTCTATTCGGTCCAGACCGATTGTGAATCGGGTTTAGACTGGATCGGACCTGACTGAAGTCCGACCCGAAATCCATTCGGTCCAGTTTCGGTCGGGACCGATCGGTCCGGTTCGGTTGATTTTTTTGGTCCAGACCTAAACGTGAACAACCCTAATTATCCATGTGAATAGCAAATTAGTAGCAATCCGATTCACTAATTCGTTAGTTCGAGTTACGCGGGTTAGGGTGTTACAGGTTGGGCCTCAAGTGTATGTAAAAGAGATGTATGTTATGTGTATGAGTTTGAAATCATTACTCTGCTCGTTTGAAAAGATACTCACTTGTAGAGGACTTTATTTCTTATTCATGGGGAGTATTTTCGTCTTTTAGTACTAAGGTGGTAGTAAATTTCACTAGACTTTATCATTCATTTACATACTTTATAATATGACTCTATACATTATATTTTTTGAACAGGTTTTGTTTTATTCAACATAGGAGTAATTTGGCTAAATTGGCCGTTGAAGTAACAACATAGTAAGGATTGTATGCATGAATTGATGATGATGGAGGTACAAATTCATCAGGTATTTCTTCTTACAAAGGACTTTTTCTATTCTGCTTTTTGGTATACGAGTACTTTATTATGTGGCTATAACAGATTTAAGTATGATGTTGATGAATGAAAAAAAGATATATCTTTTTCATTTTGATAAGAAAATTGTATTGAAATCTATTTTGATGACATTTCAATTGGGAGACTTTAAATCCAGGGTAGTATGCATGGAAAAATAAATTTACCAATCCACTCATACAGTCATACTAATGTGCTTTAGCTTAAGTTCACTCTGAAAAAGTGAAATATTTAATGGGGTGTATTTCAAAAAAATCAGTATATAATATTTTTTTGACAGTACTGTTCCTCATATTATGCATTTGATAAACATTATATAAGCCACAAGGACATTGCATGTATCATTAATTTCATAAAAAATGAATTATGAAAATGTAATATTATTATAAAAACAAATATAACTATTTTATAATTAAATTTATTCAAAGATTTCATACCAAAATATTTTTTATATTTTATGTTCCTAAATTAGAAGACATGTGTGTAAAAATCCACATTAGTAATGCACATGTCAACTATCTAAAGATAAAAATTTATTCTTTTTATATAAAGGATTTATTGAAAAATTATATTCTTAATAATTTAATAAAAAGGATTTTTAAAACTTTTTTTTTATTTTTAATAATCTTGTTTTTGATAAAAAAAATAAAAATTTAATCACATGTCAAATAATTTTGAATGGAGTCTAGATTATAAATCAAATGCCACGTAATATGCTCCATATTTTGCCATATGTATACCTCATATTATGTCACACGTCAAACTCTTATGCATTAAACCCTTAAATTTATATATAAAGTATATACTGCATAAAATCTAATCATACCATTCCAAAAGACTAATTAACTCTCTAAACCATAAAGAAAATAAAAGGACTAATTGATGGACATGAGGGGATTAAAATTAAACATTGTTTAACAAAATTTAGATACCTAATTAATTAAACTCTTGCTAGCAAAAATGAAGGGACAGCCACAAATTCTTAAACCAACAAAAAAGAAAAGAATGTTTTAAGTGTCCCAAACTAAGGACACTTTTAAGTTTGTTCTTCTTTTTCTTTTGGCCCCCCCTATTTTGATTTATTAAATTGCTCAACTGCCTAGCTTCTCCAATACAGAAGTAATAGAAAGAGACAGTTTATTTCCCACCAAAATATGTTTTCCTTTGGTTTTGGCCCTCCAGCTCCCGACGACTTCACATCACTGTATATATGGTTAACGATAGATTATTAGTTATAATAATGTCAATTCAAAACAACACTTTCGGCTAAATCACATTACAATGTTTGACTAAAAAATTTTAAATTATTATTTCTGTTCTTGAACATTTGTTTAATTTTGATTTTTTACAATCAGAATTTACAAATGTTGACCACTAGTTAAATAAAATGGATATTAAATACTCGAATTTTTTTAAAAAATTTTTATTTTTTGCAATCATAATTTACGAATGTATTAATGGATATTAAATATTTTCAAAATAACATTTTGTCTATCTGATATAGCATATAATCTTTATTTAATTCAAGATCAAAGATTGAAACTTTGAAAATGATTGATTGCAAAGGAAATAAAGAATTTGAAAGGGAACTTCTTTTTATTTAGTTAGAGAAGCTTAAAAAAGAAAAGGTAGGTAAAAGAAAATGAGAATACAAAATGAAATAAGAGAAAAAAACAAAATTCTTTACACTGATAAGAAAAACGTAAGAAAATGATTTTTTTTCTTTTCTTTCATAATTTTTTGAACCAATCATAGCGTTAATGAGGAATGAGTAATTACCTGTGTTGACCTGAGGTTGCGTAAGTGCATGTTTCATAACCTGCAAACCATCAAATTTGGAATATATAAACATATACAAAAAGTACAAAGTATAAGCTAATGTAACAGAGTTCAATGAAAGAGTTTTGTTTTTGTGATTCAAAAATTCACATATGAAATGTAGACCTTCTCGCAATAGATTTTTTTCGCAAAAAATGAGTGTTGTCCCAATGATGATAAAAAATTGTCATAATTAATGAAAAAATAGTCTCAAAGTAGAAATGTCGAAAATAATTAATTAAATATTACACTTTGTACATATAGAGCCTGTTTGGGAACAACGTTAGCGATTAGAAAAGGCTATCTACGGGCAGCGTTTAGCGTTTTCAAAGTAATCTTCACCGTTAAAATTTTATCCAAATCGCTAACGCTAATCTCTAACGCTATTCCCAAACAAACTCATAGTAATGTTAGATTCACAAACAACTTGGACACAAACTTATCATTTGTGTATTTAAATGTTTATTTTTAAATTACTTAAAACCATTTTATTCATTTAATTAGAAAATATACAAACAAGTTTGTGTCTAAATTATTTATGACTAGCATCAAATAAGTGCATAGATGATAGATGCATCATGCATGTAGATATTGGGCTGGGCTTGGAAAACTTGTCCAAAATCCAATCCATTTGGAATCGGGACATTTCTTTTTGTCTAATAAGGTTCCAAACGTTGGGCCTCAACTCGGGCTTGAGTGGGTAGCCCGATCTATGTCCATTTTCACTACTCAAACAGTTAAACAAACTAAACAAATCTTCATCATTAAAAAAAATAACAGTGTACACAAGGATTCTTATAACCTTGAAACCCCAGGTCATATTGGGACTCGGACAGCTACAATGTTCCGTTTGTAAAATTGATGGTTCTTACCCTCTTAATCGACAAAATGGAAGGAGGGCAGGAGATGCTGTGGTGGGGCGGGCGTGTAGGGAGGCAGGGGTAGGGTTTAGAGGAGTCATAAGAGTAAAAACCATCAATTTTACTAATGGTATGTTTGGGAACATGAATTTGGATTTCAAATCCGGATTTAGCTCAAATTCCATGTTTGGAAAACTTAAAAATTTTGAATCTGAATTTGAGTCAAATTCTTCTCATTCATAACAAAGCTTAATTTAAATTCCATGCACCCCCATTGTCATTTAAAATTTAAGATTTCAAATTTTGGAATTGAAATACATGAATTAAAATGGAATGCTAGTTGCCAAACACTACCTAACGAAATACCGTAGGTGCTCGGGGCATGATATGACTCGAGGTTCAAGATCAAAAGATCCTTGCCATAGAGTGTATATTAATTAATAAAAAAAATAACTTAATTAGATTTATCATGTAAAATATTCCATCTTATTAATACTAAAAGGCTCACTTGGGTTGTTTCCGGTGAGCATGGCAGTTCCACCGAAGTTGCAGGCCACGTCATTGTTCCCATTCTGCTGGTAGTAGGCATTGAAGGCGTAGGAGGCGTGGGAGAGGAGTGTATCGGGCTCGAAACACGGGCCCCCGGCCCGAATCGCCTGGCAATCCACCGCACCCCATCCGCAGGCCCAGTCCAGCGCCACCTGCAGGTCGAACTGGGGTGCGCTGCTGCGGGCCACACACCAGCTCGTCCCGCCGAGGAACGTCGTGTTGCCCTCAGGCGGGGAGAGTGTCGGCAGAGCAGTGGATTCCGTCTTCCTTTCCACCCTGGCATCTACTTTAACCTCTGCAACATTTTTGAATGAAGAAGTATGAAATTAAGAAGCTAATTACTGTAATTAAGAGCAACTTGATAGAAAAAGGAGGCGGTGGAAAATACCAGCAGGGGGGGTTAAGAGCGTGATTAGTATAGAACCAAAAAGAAATACTGTCAAAACTGGAGGTTTCATGGGGTCTGTCTGGCCTTTGCAAAGAAGAAGAAGAAGAAGAATGGTTAATTAGAAGAAGAGAAAATGGTGTTTAAGTGAAAATTATAAAGAGGGGAGGGAAAAAAGAAAGACGGGCGAGTTTTAATTTAATGCAGAGATTTATTTATGTACGGATGGGAGGAGATGAAGAATCAGCCGTTTCTTCTAACCATGTTTTCTTCTTCTTCTTTTTGTCCTCTCTTCCTTTAATTTTTTTTTTCTCCCTTACCTTTAGGTGCTTTTAATTCTTAGCGTGTGTTGATTGAGTGAGAGGGGGAGTGGGAAGGAAAAGTGAAGTAAAGGTATATGAGGAGCAGTGGCTGTGTGGCGTGTTTTAGGTAAACCATGTTTTATGGAAGAAAAAACCTAATTATTTAAGGCTTAAGATCACTGGAAATATGGATGAAGTCAGGAGCTTCAAACCTTGCTTCAAATCTTCCTATATCAATTTGAAAAAAAAAAAACTAAGAGCACTGGTAATGGGTTTGAAGCCACGGGACTTCAAACCTTCTCTCTCTGTCACGTCAGCTTTAACTTACACCCAAAATTCACTGGAAATGGTTTTGAAGTCCCGGGGCTTCAAACTGGGGCTTCAAACCTTCATTTTTTACATTTTTAAATATACATCTTCTAAATTTAAATTATTAAATTTAAATTAATTTATTATTTTAATTAATCGCAATGACACAAGTGCATAAAAAAATTAAATTCATTATAAAAAAAATCTTACATTCATAAAAAAACATTCAAAAAAATTACATAAAAAAAACAACAGTACAAAGAAATCACTAATTATTCGAACGACTAAAGATATGCTCGATCAAATCCGCCGTTAGTGCATTGTGAATCTCTCGGCTTCGAATTTCTTGGCGGTTGCGTCGTTTCTTTTCTTCGGTGATTTCTTCGTACATATGCACCTCCTCGTCCGGGTTGTATTAACAAATCGCAGACCCGTTATCCTCTATGATCATATTATGAAGAATAATACATGCGTACATGATATTCCTCATTTTTGTCTAAGAATAACATTTCGACGGACGATCTAGAATGTGCCACTTAGCCTTCAAGACCCCAAAGGCTCGTTCAATATCTTTTCTCGCCGCCTCTTGAGCTTTTTTGTAGGTCTGGCGTTTAAGACCCATTGGTTCGGAGAGGGATTTGACAATCGTGGAATAATCCGGATATATTCCATCGGCCAAATAATATCTACGCTTGTAAAGCGTCCCTCTAAGCTCAAAAGAGGAGTCCGGTGCGGTCTCATTAACCCAATCGTCAAAAACAGGCGATTGATCGAGAACGTTGATGTCGTTGTTCGAGCATGCGACACCGAAAAAAGCATGCCAAATCCACAAGTCATTCAAAGCAACAGCTTCGAGCATGATGGTAGGCTTGGGATGATCTCCCCGGGAGAATTAACCGTGCCACGCAGTGGGACAATTTTTCCATTCCCAATGCGTGCAATCAATACTCCCAAACATGCCGGCAAAGCCGTGTTTAGCGGCATGTCTCGCCTGCAACTGCTGGATGTCGCTCGCTGTAGGCTTGCGTAAATATCTTTTATGATAAATTTGAATAATAGCTTTTGAAAATTTATAAACACAGGACCTGATGCTCCGAGCCGACATCTTCAAGTATTCGTCGAAAGTATCGGATGTCGTCCCGTACGCCAACTGACAGAGCGCGGCAGTGCACTTTTGGACGCTACTAAACCCGCGTTGGCCTCTCACATCAAACCGTTGGTTGAACCAAGGAACCTCGCGTTCAACATCAGCGAGTATGCGTAAGAAGACAGGACGACTCATCCGAAAACGATTACTAAAATCCTCCGGTGTATAAACACACAGATTATTAAAGTAGTCGTTTAGAAGTGAATTGTGGGCGGCCGCTCGATCCCGGTTTAGACGTTGGCGTCAGGTCCGTCGTCGGGAGGATTCGGCTTCTTCTTGGCCATCTTCCCACCATTGAATACAATTCGTCGCGAAACAACGAAAAAATAAAGCTTTTCTTTCATCGTCGAAAGATGAACCCATTTTTAAATTATATTTTATAAATATTTATAATAAATAATAAATATTTTTGAAAGAATATATAGTAATAAAGAGAGATTTGTGAGAGAGAGGTGTGAGAAAGATGTATGAGATAGAGGGATTTTATAGNGGGGGGGAGGGGGGGGTAACGGCTATATAGCCGTTGGGAAGGGGGGGAGCCGGCTAAAAAACGCAGCCACGCCGCGTCAAACTTATGACGCTGGTGAACTCACGCCCGATCACGCCCGGAGGGGGGCGGTGTTTCACGCCCCCGGGGCGTTAAACGCCCGTTCACGCCGGCGGGCATGAAGCCAATTTCCAGTGCTCTAATGTAAATACTCCGTATTTTCTTTCCTCAAATAATCACTCAAAGCACACAAACAAATACTCTTTTCGTCCCAGAATATTTGTCCACTTTCTTTTTTACACACCATCCAATACACTTCTTTAATCCATTTTATCTTGTAATTTGTATATTAAAAAATTATAGAAAATATATATTAATAATCTATATGTTAAGACAAATCAAACAAGATTACACATGACTATATTTAGGCTTACACATTGAGAGAATTTGATGAGTCAAAGTGCTTAGATGAACAGTTTCAAAAGTCAAAAGTTGACGAATATAGCAGGACGGAGAGAGTAAAACTTTTCGCAATTTTTGAATGGTAAAATGTGATGTTTTAAATTGGGACGGGGGAGAAACTTATTTCGTACCAATTCAATTTTCGGACCACATAATGTGACCTGACCGGGGGTTCAATTTGGGTGCCCGAGAAATGAAAGAACTTGACACTGCAGTATATATGTTTGGCAGATCGATCACTTCAAGTCTTGAACTGGCACGCATGATGAGCTGCATTTTCTGAGCGAAAGGGGCACGTTTTGCAAATCCTATCTTGAATTTCAATAAGAGTATAATTTATTTATTTATTTTTGGATTAAGCTATTTATATACTCCCTTCCTCCCAAATTATTTGCCACATTTGTATTTCCAAAGCAAAATATCAAGTTTTTTCAATTCATTTTATTTACATATTGGTATAGAAATAAAAAATAAAAATTACATATAAAAAAATTACATGAAAAGTTCTTCGAAATAAGAGGTGTCAAGAAGATTTTATTTTATCAAATAACCAATGAAAACGTCGAAATAAACAAAAGTTCTCGCGACTGCTGAAAAAACAAATGTTGTGAATATTTAGGGACGGAGGGAGTACTGAAATTTGGTATACGGAATTGATGGAATTGAACTGGAATTGAAATTCCATGAGATTCAATTTCATAAAATTGAATTCACCAATTCCAATTCATTTTTTGCACTATCAATTCCAAATCCATATAATTTTTGTGATACCAAACACCTGACTTGTAATTGAAGTCCCCAATTCCAATTCTATAGTTTAAATTTCATGTATCAAATAGGGCCTAAGGATCCGTTTGTTACACGGAATTGATGGAATTGAATTTAAATTAGAATTGAACAGTTTCAATTCCACATGATTGAATTCACCAATTCTAATTCATTTTTTGCACTGTCAATTCCAAATTCACATAATTTTTGTGCTACCAAATACCAGAATTGGAATTAAAGTTCTCAATTCTAATTCCATAGTTTGAATTCCGTGTACCAAACGGGGCCTAAGGATCAGTTTGGTACATGGAATTGATGAAATTAGAATTGAATTGAAAATTAAAATTCTATTGGATTGATTTGGATGGAATTGATTTCCCCAATTCCAATAAATTTTTGGCATTACTAATTCCAAATCCACATCTTTTTGTGATACCAAATACTCCGTAGTAAATTTGGAATTGTTACAATGTTAATAATGTTAACATATATAGAAATCATCCTAAATAGGATTAAAACATAGAGAAAAGTACCAAAATATGACTTTCATGTTTTTTTCCCGGAATAGGACTTTGCACTGTGGTAATGTGATTTTGCATTCTGGTAATGTGGCAGTGTACATGTGCAAGTTACTATACTTTTTTTGTAATGCATATGACCATGTTTGGTAATGTAAGTCCTATTTCGGGAATAAAAACATGGAAGCCCTATTTTGGTATATTTTTAATATTTTAGTCCTACTTTGGTCTTTCTCCCTAACATATACTCCCTCTGTCCCCCATAGATCTTCTCAATAGTCCTTTTTCTCTGTCCACAATAGATCTTCTCATTTCATTTTTTAACAATTAAAATACCACAACTACCCCCAGTTACTTTAATTATTACACCTCACTCACCTCATTTAATACACTCCACCCATTTTCATTAAGGGTATTATGGTAAACTTTCACCTTTTTTCAACTCTCCTTAAAAACCACCAAAAGTCAAAATGAGAACATCTTAGGGGGACGGAGGGAGTAATATCATAATATGTTATAACAACGTATAATTTAATTTTTTTTGGGAATAAAGGCTAAACTAAGATTAAATATAGAGAAATTCTGAAAATATGAGTCATGTTTTTAGTTTAAAAATGGAGGTTACAATGCTAATAATGTTAACATATAATATCATAATATGTTATAACAAGTCAATATACAATATCATATTATTAAAATACAAACTCTAATTTTGAGGATAAAAAATGTGTTCATGTTTTTGGTACTTTTCTCAGTGTTTTATTTTTATTTTTGATGATTTCTTAATTCTTTTATGTTTCTTAGTTACTCTGATCCCTCCGTTCCTCTAGGTTCTTCCTGGTTCGCGTTACAATATTTGAATGGAATTATTTTTTATTCATTTTATATGAAAATTGGTGTGTAATAAAAAAATAAAAAATAAATATTTAAAAACTACTCTATATCAAAAAATCTATAAAATAAGTAGTGACAAAACCTATTTTATTTTATAAAATAATCAAAGAAAATAGGTTAAAAATAAATAAAATTTAGTCATGTGAATAGTAAATTAAAAGAAACTAATGAACCGAGAGAGTTCAATTTATGAGATTTGTGATCCGATGAAATTAACGTATAAGATAAAGTCATCGCCGTTACACACACGTACACACACACACATATTTGAAAATATTCTTTTCAATATTTATTTTAATTTTAGAGTTAACGTTAAATTTGTATTTGGTCTCTATAAAATCAATGATTGGGGGAAGGATCATTTGAAAAGAAATACTTTAAAATTATCTAAGTATAACTCTTAAGCCAACGCTCCGTAAAAAGACATTCATATTTAACCAAAAGTAAAAACTTATTTGATTCTTGGATTAGAAATTATTTTAAATAGAACTAAAACATATAAAAAAGTACCAAAATAAGATTTTAATGTTTTTCCCCTGAAATTGGACTTTACACTATAGTAATGTGGTTGTAATGTGGCACTGTACATTGCACATTATTATACTTTTTGGTAATGTACATGACCATATTTAGTAATGTAAATGTATTTTAAGTCTTATTTCGAGAATAAAAACATAAAAGTCTTATTTTGGTATATTTTCAATGTTTTAGTCATACTTTGGTCTTTCTCGCTTCTTGGATCCACATTCATTTTATACGGAGTATATTTTAGTGTATAAATACCATCAAAAATTGATTTTTTTACCATAAAAAAGATTAATATTTGTCAAGCTATGAAAAGAATGAGAAAGTCCACAAGATTTTTAAACCACGTAAGCATAACTCTTTAGCCAACACTCCGTATTTTTTGCGCAATGTTAGCGGCAAACTAAAATGAGGTGTCTATTTATTCACCAAATCTTCATAGCCACACAATGTAATTATATGTACAAATACTCGATGTTTGTGTGTTGAAAAAAGCTAGGGGTACACCAAAGATGTACCCTATTTGTCCCCCACCCCTTTCTCCACCACATAAATGGACAAAAAATTTAAAAAAAAAAATAAATAAATAAAAATTAAATACAAGTGGGTGGTGGAGAAGGGGGGTGGGGGACAAATGGGATACACTTTTGGTGTATCTCTAGCATTGCTCTTGTGTGTTTGTAAAGGCTAAGGGGCTGTTTGGCAACTTTTGAATAGGTAAGTGCTGAGCCAGTAACAGGTCTGAACCATTAAGTGCTGAACCAGTAAGAGGTCTGAACCATTAAGAGCTAGTATATTGCTTAACAATGCAGAGGCAAATGTCTGATCAATTCAGATAAGAGGTCTTATCCATTCAGACTCTGTATAATACTTAACCATTCAGAGGCAAATGTCTGAACCATTCAGACATCTGAACCATTAAGAGGCTGAAACAAACAGTCTGAATCATTCAGTGCTAAACCATTCAGACATCTGAACCATTAAGAGGCTGAAACAAACAGCCCCTAAATGTACAAATGTGTTAGCTCATTTGAATTCTTTTTTTTCGGAAAGAATACCTAGGGAAAAATAGATACTCCGTTCCGGGTCAAAATGCAGTAGCCCAAGCTTAATCTTTTAGTGTGGCGACTGGCGAGGCAGGGTTCAGTACCCGAACAGTGGCTCTTCCCGCCGCTTGAATTTCCCCACAGGTATGCTTTAACCATTTATTAAATGTCGTATACCTTGTTATCATCTTCAATCCTTCATTTGCGAAACTCCATTGATATCAATTGGCCTAAGAAAAATCTTACAAGTTTTCAAACGTAAGCCGCCGTGTTTAGTTCTACGAATCTTACCTTTTCCTGAATCTGATTGAGTTTCTACAATGGAGTGTTCTATAGCCAATGTTGATATCAGGAAAATTGCAAGGAAATTATAGTGAGCCCATATATGTGCGTTTTAGTCTTTTTTACTTTCAAACAAACAGGGAATTTTATGTGGGTAGTGTTGATGGCATTCGACCCATTCAGCAGTAGCTTTTAATTTTAGCTTTAGCATTTTGTAGATTTTAGTGCATTTTTGAAGAGTATATTCTAAAAAGAGTCAGTTATAACATGAAGTTTTCCATATATAGTCCTCAATTATGAGATATGATGCTCGTGATTCTCTATATTTGAGAATTATTCCATAACCAATCCTTTGTGGACTATATGTGGAAAAACATATTTGGTTCCAAAGGACTGATTATGGAATAATTTCAAATATAGAGGGTAATACTTTAGAGTTGAAGAGTATATATGGAAATTATCTTGTTATAAAGGACTATTAATGATTGATTTAGTCATTTTTAAATGTTGATTTGCACCCTTATCCATAAACCCAACAAAGCATTATGATATAAGAATATTCTTTCTTTGTGCCTTGAAGAGCAACCTTCAAGATCCAGCCATTCTCTGTGGTTTATAGTTCTATATGAATTTGCCTTCACACTAGTAAGAAGAGAAAATTGCTTTAGTGGGTGTTCTCATTTGAGTGGGGCATGTGGTTTCACACACTTGCCAAGAAATTCGATCTGAGATGAGTAGCTTATCTATTGACATTAAACATTAGCAAGGTTTCAGTGTATTATATAACGTAAACTCCCTGCATTCTTTTTTGACCGACCATTACAATTTTCTCGATACATTAAAAAATGAATGAATGTGAACATATTTTATGTCTACATTGGCTAGAAACTTTGGATATGAAAGGATAGATGATAAAACCATATTTAAGTAATAGCATTTGACATGTAAAATCCTTTCTATCTGTTATAAACTAAATCCACAGAGCCTAAGAGGGGTGATTTCTGTAAATGTAATTAAACAATTTACAATTTCATAATAATTTATATTACCTCCTGTTTTATCGTGTCTCATTTTACTTATGTGTATCTGCATTGATGCTTCATGGTATAAAGTCACCAGGTGAGTCTACAACTCTTGATCAGGTTGTGCCGAGTCATAGATACAGACCAAACCTATCTGATAAGCATAGGGTGTTTAGGAAAAGGACCAGAATACCTTAGGTCTGTCTATTAATGTTTGAGTGAGAGTATATTGGGTACAACAATGATATCAGAATAAATGCTTTTTTCTCGTTGTTTTGAGGTATATATAGGCATGGTATGCCGCCCAAGGATGTTTGTCGACATGTGGCATGTACTTTGTAAAGAAGAATGTACTTTAACAGCGTGATGATGTCATAAGCACCACCAGTAAGATGTCACTTGTCTGGCTCTGACAGACTGGGTATAACCCATCAGTAATGCCATTTCCTTTCTATTCCAATCTTCTTAAAAACCGCTCTTGATGTTTTCTGAGCAAAAGGGAACAGTGGGAATAATCTTTTGAACCCATGCCATGACCCACCAATAAAGATGACATAAACAATGATCAGGAAAGCTTTTGACATAAAGAACATCAAAATGACCAATCCAGTGTTAATGTACTTCCAACGACAAGTCGACAACAACCTAGTAAAATCTCACAAACGGAGCTTGGTTGGGTGTACACCTTACCCCACCCTAAAAAGGTAATGATTCTGTTTTTGAAAGACACCCGATTCATAGAACAGAACAGAGTCACAAACTCACAACCAACCACTCCTAACAAAGGCTTATATCTACGGTTCATCCTCGATGAGGAACAGAAGCATCAAATCCTATTTAGTCACTTGATTCCAACTCTTCTTCGGTCTACCTCTACTACTCTACCCCTCAAATTATGGCCAACCTCTCACACCCCCGCCATCCGCACGGGATGATAGGAATCAGTTCTCCTTCTTTGCATGTCCCCAAACCAAAAGTGAAACCAAGTTACCCATGCCCAATTCTTTTGTGGTAATTAATAAAAATTCCATTATCTTGGTGACTTAGTTTCTCTTTTGTTTGGTTCACATGCTCTCTTTACGTGTTAGATTGCCATGTTAATTTTTTATTTACTCTCCACTTTAACTACTTATAAGCAGAATGAAGCTCTCTTCCTGTGCTTTAGTTAATCCCCGCGAATCAATTTATAACCCCTAATGCAATCAATTTTTAATGATCTCTTTTACGTGCAATTGTCAGGGGTTGGGGAATCTACGATAATATTAATGGATCCTGAAGGTAGAAAATTTGGAAGAGGTATACCATAAGACAACTCATTCACATAATGTACTTATGTACGTGGTTGTTTGCTTGTTGGCAGTAACATCTTTATTGACAATTTTGGCTTATGCATCTATATTTGGTTTTACTGTTAGTAATGACTACTTTGTTTCTATTGGATGGGCTTGTTACATGTCTTAATTTATGCTTTTTGGGGATAGTCTGCCAACTATGGCTGTGTTTGGCGTTTTGATTGGTAAGTGCTTATTGCTTCTCATATTACAATTTGGCATGGCTAACATTCAAGTTTATTGCTTCTCCGATCATAGTTTGATGCATATTGCTTCTCCAAATGACAATTTGGCAAAACATCGATTTGATGCTGCAAAAACTTATTAGTCACCGAATAAGCAAAAACTCAGTGCTTATTGAATAAGCAGAAACTTATTGCTTACTGAATAAGCTGAAACTTAATGCTTATTGAATAACAAACATGCATGCTCTATTTGATTTTTCCTTTATTGTAGATTCTGCTTAATTCTAACTTCTGGAAAAGTTTGCTTAGAACTGAGTGCTTGTGTTCTATCCCTTTCCTGAGTTACTGAACATGGCTAACAAACTCTACACCTTCACATATGATTTTTTACAGCCAAACTCTGTTTCTTCATTGCAAAGTACTCCGTATTAATATTCTTGGTATCTGTGCTTTGCATTTCACTGTTATCAGAGCTTCACGTTAATAGTTTGGTTCATGAGGTTTAAATCAGTGATAAAGTGACATTAGAGCTTCAGTGATGCTTCTGATATGAAGCAGATCAGTTGATGCATTTTTAATACTACCAGCTCTAACACAAGCTTCCCATTCCATTTTCCCTTTTCTTTATTCACTGTTCTTTAAATGTCTTTTATATTGACCTTTTCTTGTCATCCATTGTTAGTTGATAAAAGTGGTTTCTATGAGATGAAATAGTCTCATTTGCCCTGATAAAACATACGAGTAATTTGATTTTTAGTCTTGATATCAAAGGGGTTACCAATATGTGTTCTCTGTGGACCGCACAAAAGAAGCAAAGTTGATCTCTATACTAGTGTTCGGTGAAACAAGGCCTCCCCTTTATCATGTACCACAAGTATATTTATATGGTCCTGCACTCATAATACATAAAAGGTCAAGGTACATATTTATTTCTTGCAAGAAATTGAGCAGTTGATGTTGCACTTGGTGATCGTGGTCTTAAACCTCTGAGAGTACATGCCCTTGATAGAGGTTGATGCTTTTCTTCACTTCTCACACAACATGTTACCATTTGATGTTGCTTTCTAGGAAACAACCTCCTCAACTCCTTGGAGTGGAGGTATGGTCCACGTTCATCTTACCCCTTGACCCTACTCTTGAGTGGGATATGCTGGGCTAGTTTGGTTTGGGTCGATAATAAATGAAGATGTGTTAATAAGGAGGGAGTTCATTGCAGTATAAAGCCATATATCAAGTTTTGCAGGGCCTAGAGAGCTTGGAGGTTCAATTGACCTTATAAATCATTATAACCTCGAGCGGTTTCATGAGTATTTCTGCAAGAGGACCCTCCCATCCTCAATCTCCAAAAGCCAATACCTTAACAACGTGGCGGGCAATCGGGAAATTAAGAAAGGAGAAGGGATGGAACTTGATCAGCTTGTCCAAAATCCCGCTAGTGTGAGACGTAGACAAGAACCTCTTCGTCCTTTTCAGTTAGACATACTCATGGATGCTTTTCTGCTCAGAGGATCTACTTCCTTAAACCAGTCTCCTGTAAGAAAAAAAAGTACATATATTCTCTGTATCCTTTGTTCTTCTGCAGTCCATATTCTCTGTTAACTTTTCATATTTTCAGTTTTTGGGTCACCAGGAGAAGAAAAAGGCTTCTACAGGAAAAATGTCAAAGTTGATGAAGCATAAGAAGCTTAAGCACAAAAAGTTAGGGGTGTTCAAAAATATCCGATCCGAAATATCCGTCCACGATCCGGGCCGATCCGATCCGAAAAATGGATATCCGATCCGATATTTTAGCTTTCGGATATTTTGGATCGGATACCCGAAAAAAATCGGATCGGATATGGATTCAATTTTTGGAATTTTTCGGATAACCGGATATCCGATTTTTTTTTGCTATATATTTTTTGAATTTTATGGATATATATTATGACTATATGTTTAAATGTAAGTTTATATTGATTTTGNAATTTGATATCATTTTTTAATTAGGCCATTACTCAGTGGTAAAATTTTTCTTTTAGTAAATTTATATTGAATTTTAATATTTTGGGTTTATTTTGCTATTTTACCTTGTTTTTTATAAATTATGGCTAAAAACTCAATTTTTCGGATAATCCAGTGATCCGATCCGAAAAATTGGATATCCGAATTTCGGATATCCGAATATTTTCGGATCGGATATGGATTGAGTTTTACATGATCCGAAATTTTCGGATATCCGAATTTTCGGATCGGATCGGATCGATCCGATTGAACACCCCTACAAAAAGTAACAACCACAAGAAAGACCATAAAGAGGAGAAATGGAGCACAAGAAAGGTTTGCGAAATTACTCGGATTCGTTTTTGGGTACCCTAAAAGTTAATTGACTAGAAAACCATTGCAACATGCCTCTAAGAAGCAATACATAGTTTCTTATATAACATTCAACAAAAATATCACTTTTTTTTTTAAATTTTTTATATATTTCTCCCAAGACTAATTAGACAACAACATAACAGATGGATCATAAACTCATTCCTCTATAAAACCATCTTCCTTAGAGACCAACAAATGAGGAGGAAATGAAGGGGCCTCATCTTCCAACACCCTCTTGCGCCTCACCCATCTCCCACAAGAGTTAAGTTCCAGCCCTTTATTCCCCAGCTGGTACCAATTGGGGGGTACCCTAAGCTCATCCACAAGCATATCACAGTCCTTGTTCACCAGCGCCACGTCCCTCTTCGCGTCCTCCCTGAAGGGCACCCTCAGGCTGCAGTACCCGTCCACGAGGTGGAGGTACGTCTCGAGCATGTGGCACCCGAACAGGTTCATCCCGCCCTTTAGGTACGGGGAGGACCTCGCGTCGAGCTTCAGCTCCACCCCGATGTGCGTGTACACCCACTCTAGCGGGCCGATCAAGTCGTCGTACTTCTGTAGGCCTTCGTTGAACACGACGCCGGGCCATTTCGGCACCAGGTCTTGCTTCACTGTCACTCTTAATGTCTTGACTCCCTTTTGGTAAACCTACTCATTAGATTAAATAAGAGAAATTAGTATTAGTTAAAATTTCTTTTGCAGAAAGAAAAATATTGTGAAAGTATTGTTTTTCACAAAAAAAAAACAAAAAAAACTACCGACATTACACATAACTGACTTAAGCCAAATACATTAGATTTTCTTATTAGCACTTTTTCCTTTAAAGCTTACCACTCTTATATTTTTCTTCATTTCCCTCTTAATACGAGCTTTTCACTTAGTTGAGGCCCACTCCCCAAACTAGATTCATGGAGGATGCATTGTATCATTATGCCTTTTTAAATTGAAAAAATATGAATATATATGAATATATAGATACTACTCAGTATATCATAGTAGAATTAATATAACTCAAAATTTTTTGTTATTTATACGAGCTTGTGCTTGGTTAGAATGACAAGGAGGCCACGTTTCAAGATATTGTGGGATGCTTGCCCATATTTAGTTTCTAGCGGATGTGTTGGCCAAGTGTGGCTCATTTAAAAACCTTTATCCTTTGTTTGGATTAGGTGAGAAAATGAAAGGGGTCTTTGAATATTTGTCTAATTTTGCCTTTTCTTGATAATTTATTTTAAATTTTTGATTTATAAATAAATAAAATATATATGGTATTATAATTAGATAAAACAATATTTTGAAAATATTTGATATAATAAATCAAAGAAAATTAATTTTGTATCAATATCTAATATCATTTTAATTTATGTTGAGTCGAGTAAGAGAAATTTAATTTTTTTTAAATTTCTTTTTGTGCCATAGAATGCCCAATTGAAACATGCACAGTAATCATCCACTACTGTATTAAAGTTAGTAGGCACAAAAAATTAGGACAACCCAAAAAATTAGATTAATTAATTTAATACGCTGTATAATCTACAATCTCTCGGTTTATTTTTATTCTTATCCTCCATTCTTCTGGAGTAACTTTATATTTTATTTTTATATTTATTTATTTTTAAATGTATCAAAAAAATCATAACTAAAATTTAGTTTAAGAAAAAATAAGAAGTATGAAGTAAGTTTAATTTCTTTAACCATTTTAATTAAGTTACTTTATAAAAAAAATTAAGTTACACTTTCACATATGTTTACATTGTTTCATTTACAAAGACACTAATTTAATTAGAACTAAATAAAGTGAAATTTGAGAGTGATGAGAAACTATGAGAAAAATAGTATAAAAAAAAGTAAAAAAATGGAGAAGGGAAAGTAATAGTGCGTGGTTGGTGCATTTTCACATCATGAGATGTGAGAAAAGTTTTTAGGAAAATGTTAGGGGTATACCTTGGTGTATCCCAAATGTCTCTCACCTCCTCCTTGTCCACAAAAATAGATAAGAAAATTCAAAAAAAATAAGTAAATAAAAATTAAATAAAAATGAATGGTTATGGAGGGGGTGAGGGACATTTGGGGTACACCTTTGGGGTACACTTTTGGTGTACCTCTAGCATGTCCCAAGTTTTAAGTAGGCTCTACCATTGTTTTTCATTTCTTATCATTTTTATTCTTATCCAAATAAGAAAAAATCCATTGAAGTATTTATTTTCCCACCTTTAATATTGTTTCCTCTCTTTTTCTCACTATCCAAACAAAAGCTAAATGTTGCTATGAAGTGTTCCATTGTTCCCAAATCCAAATATTCTTCCTTTAAAAAACTTTAATATAGGAAGATAAAATACTCTTTCCGCCGCTGACTATTTGTTCACTTTCATTTTTGCACACCATCCAATACACTTCTTGTAATTTGTATATTAAAAAATTATAAAAATTATATATTAATAATCTATATGTTAACACAAATCAAACAAGATCACACATGACTATATTTAAGCTTACACATTGAGAGAATTTGATGAGTCAAAGTTTTTAGATGAACAGTTCCAAAAGTCAAAAGTGGACAAATATAGCGGGACGGAGAGAGTAATTACAAAGAATAAGAAGATACAAAGGACACTTTTAGGGTAAAAAAAAGTACACTTTTTATTATACTCCGTAGATTTTAGATCAATAATAAAGGATACTCTTGCAGTCTTGCATCTCAAAATTTTTAGGACAAGTGAATGTGATGATATGCAATTTGCAACAAACAATTGATATTAATGTTAAAAGAATAAAAAAATGTTATAAGTTAAATAAAAAGAATAAAAATAAAAAAAGTTAAAAAAAACATATCAGCATATAAGTCAATGGGAAACAAATGTGGAGTCAAGTAAAAGAAAATCTATTTTTTTAATTTCTTTTTGTGCCATAGAATGCCTAAAAATTAGTAGGCACAATAAAATTAGTAGGCACAAAAAATGTGCCATAGAATGCCATGATTTTTGTGCCATAGTAATCATCCACTACTGCATTAAAGTTAGTAGGCACAAAAGATTAGGACAACCCAAAAAATTAGATTAATTAATTTAATACGCTGATAATCTACAATCTCTCGGTTTATTTTTATTCTTATCCTCCCTTCATTTTTAAAAATACTAATGACATACTTTGTATTTTTTATATTTATTTATTTATTAATGCATCTAGAAAATCATAACTAAAATTTAGTTAAAAAATATGAGAAGAACGAAGTATGTTTAATTTCTTTAACCATTTTAATTAAGTTACTTTATAAAAAAAATTAAGTTATTTCACATATGTTCACATTGTTTCATTTAGAGAGACATTAATTTGGTTAGAACTAAATAAATGCTCCGAGTTACGATAATAACAAACCTCGTCCCGGAAAGCAATATTGCCGACTCTTGGCGCAGCAAAAGAAATGACGGTGACGGGAACGCCGGGAAAGTGGACCGCCGCCTCATAGGCATTGAGCACGGCGAGCGCGCCGCCGAGGCTATGGCCGGTGACGGTGACGCTCACCTCCTCCCCTTTGCTAGTGTAAAAGTCCACCAACTTCCCCAACACATCCATAACTTGTTCCGACGCACTCTTCTTATTGAACCTCGAAGTGTCACATTTTGACGTATAAATGCTAAGAAACCCATGCTCCACTTTCGCGTCCCCGTGCCCGACCGCTTCCAATTTATTCTGCATGTTTTCCGACCACTCAGACGGCGTCACCGTCCCCCGCCACGCCACCACCACGTCCCGCCGCCCGATCCGCCTCGTCTCCTCCTCGTTGCTCGCCGCCACGTACCCGATCCAGTTCGAGTCCTTGCTCCACGCGTGGGCCAGGGTCGACCCATCCAGCCAGTCTGGGACTTCAAGCTGGGGCGATGACATGGCGTAGATGTAACTGACAACCTCGTACCCGTTCCTTGCGATCCCAACTTTTTGGAACATTTCGTCGCGGGCGTAGAGACAGCTTCCGTAGTACTCGGAGTACGGGTCCAGGTCGAACGCGTCGTAAGTGGCCTGCGCGAACTCGCCGTACTTGACGATTTCGCGCCTGAGCCAGGGGTGGAGGGGGTCTAAAAGACCCTCCCACTCGCGATATCCTTGGATGTCCCTCCAGTGGGATGATATGTTTTCCCTAGGGGACATGGCGGGCGTGTCCGCCATGTCACCTATGGAAAGGATGTTTTGTTCCTGGTTGGATTTGGGAATGTTGTTGAGATTGTTTAGGACTTCCGACATGGTTTCCGCAAACTTCGCCGCACCGATGGAGGCCTTGTTTGTGAGGATCTGAATTGTGTCATTCTGGTTGATCTTGACCGGCGGGAGCCTGCACTTCGCGGCGGCGAGGAGGCGGTTCTTGCCGGGGAGAGCGGGGGTTGATGGTTGGTTCGTTTGTTGCATGTTGGGCAAACAATGAAAAAGTGTTGGTTCAAAGTTCTTTAAAAAGTTGCATGGGAATATAAAGAGTTGCGCCGGTTTGACTAATACTCCCTCCCTTTCATGCTATTCCGTGTATTTATTCAAATTTGAATTTTGTTTGTGTTAAACTCCCTCTTAAACTTATACAAACAAACTTTTAGGGTAAAACTTATGATCCTTTTTAAAACTATTTACTTTAAGTGAAATTTGCACTAAATAAATAAATAAATAGTAGTAAGACTTAATAAATAATGCCAAAACAAATAAATAAACCATTAGAAAATAAAATAAGTCATTATAAAATAACAAAAAAATTAACAATAAAAAACTATATAATAATAAAATAAATAAATAAAATAATAAGTGATAATTAAAATAATAATAATAAAGAAGTAAATATTTAAAAATTTAAAACTAAACTAAAAAACTAAAAATACTAACACCTTGGTTCCCATGACATTGGAAACCAATGTCATGGGATGACCCGGGGGTTCTCCGGTGCCCCGTTCGTATAATTGACGGTTCCTACACCCCCTAACCCCCCGGTAATCCCCCACCCCCACCCGACCCGAACATGTCCCCCCACCCCCTTCAATTGCACCCTCAAGTTAATTTTGATTTGGGATTCAAATAAATTTGACTGGGGAGGGGGGGGGTTAGGGGTGTATGAATCGTCAATTTTACGAACGGGGCACCGGAGCACCCTCGGGTCATCTCATGACATTGGGAACCAATGTCATGAGAACCCCCCTCAAATATTAATACGGAGTATAATAAAAAAAACCGATAAAAAAATGTATAAAACACATAATAAAATAAATCAATCAATTCATAATGAAAAATCGTAGTAATAAATAATAAATAAAATAATGTACACACATAGATATATACTGCATATATATATATATGTATGTATATATATGTGTGTGTGTGTATATATATATATATATATATATAAAATTAAATTTAAAAATATAATTAAATAAGAAAATAAATAAATTTAAAATGTAGGATAAATAATTAAAAGAGTAACAAAATTTGAAATTATAAAAAATAAAATGAACGAATAAAATAAAAAAAAGTGATAATAATATTTTTATAATAGATAACAAAATTCATTTAAAAAAGAAAAATATGAATGAAATCTCGAAAATAAAATATTTCCTTCCCCTCCCAATCAAAATAAAGGGAATCTTCCCCTTCCCTTCCCATTCCCTCCCATCAATTCCTTCTCCTCCCCTCCCTTCCATGTTCCAACCAAACATACCCTAAGGCTAAAAGCTGCACGTAAATATTCTTTTTAAAATGTTAGGGCTAATCTCTAACGTTATTCCTAAATAGGCACATACTCTCCGACACTCCGTGTATGTGTGTGCGGGACGGATCCTCTATTCCAAAACAAGTGAAACAAGTTAAACCCCAAACAACAATTAATATTGAAACTATAGTTCATTAAACACTTTGTGATGCTATAATTATTGTACAAAGCATCTATAATTATTGTACAAAGCCTCGTTTAATTATTCAATAATATACCTTTTGATAATTAATTAATAGCCGCACATAAGTATTTCAATAAAATGGAGTTACGTTGGGTCCCAAACTGGCAAATCCTCTAGATCAGTAACCACCATCGTAGGATCCGGTGCAATCTTTTTTGAAATATTGACAATTGGCCAGGGCAATGCATCTCACTTTGATAAGGTGCAATTCGTGTGGCGAGACGGGGTCGTTGTCGTAAGCAACGCTTACCCCCGCGTAATGAATACAGTTCTCTATCTTCGTCCATCTGTACGCATCAACGTTGGCGTCGTCTTTATTGTCACCAACAATGACCCCAGTCAGCGGGGACGCCATATCCTGCTGCTCAGCATAGGTTAACGTAATAAGCATAACGACGATCGCAATAATGTGATTAATGGAGGTCATAGTAGTTTAAAGTATTTGGTTGTGATATAGGTATACATGCACAAATATATGTTGCCATGTGCCTGGCCTTTATATATATGTAAAATGATGAAAAGAGAGTACACTATATGCTACCTAGCTCATGAATTGAATAAGATATAGAATTAACGTAAGTGGTACTTAATTACATAATAATTAATGACATTTGCGATTATCAATACTATTAGAACAAGTACATAACGGAGTCCAATGTATTAGATTTGTTGTGTTGTGAGCCCTTTAACAATAAATGAAATTTGTACGGAATAAGACTAAAACACAAGTCATTTCTCAATGTAGGACTTAAACTTTTTTATTCCTTAAATATAACTTAATAATGACTATTGAGAAGAATAATGTCCAAGTGATGCTGGAAATTTAGTTGAATAATGACTAATAATAGATAATGACCAATGGTCCTATATTGGAAAATAAAAACATATGGTCCTATATTGAGAAAGTTATTATGTTTTAGGTATATTTAAGTAATTACTCAACATATAAAGACTAGTGGGTGTAGATCACATCATAACTTCCTTCCAACTCAATGTCACTTTTATTTTTTTTCATTTACTTAAATCGAAATAATTTAAAATAAGAAACATTCAATAAATAGTTCAATAACATTTAAATTAAAATTATTTTGACATAATGCGATAAAAAAGACGAAATTAGGGCTAGAAATGAAAACCCGAAAATGTGATTACCGTCTGCATTCGTATCCGTTTACACGAAAAAAAATGCATGTATCCGTTTAATGAGGAAATGATTAATTAAAGAAATACTACCTCGTAGATCACTAATAATAATTGACGAAGGATGTTAGACAATAATAATAATAATAATAGTAATTGATGGTATAAATTAACCACCAGAGAAACTATATACTACACCGGGTCTAGAATATAGTTTGTTGAGTAGAGAATGAATGGTAGGACGGTAGGTGGAAACACTTGTAGTCTAATTGTTATCATGTAAGAGAGTGTTGGGAGCTCTTACAATATGAACTCTAGATAGATAAATTTTGGTCCTCTTCATCTGAGGGTTACAGAGGTATTTAGAATGAAATGAAGGAGACAGGGCGCCACACGTCCATATCAGCCTATGTTCTCAGACGGCGCGAGGTGACTTCCTTTTGTCCCATAGCGTTTTTTCTTATTCCCTTGTCAGCAGAGATTGAGGGAATATTTTTTCAATATTTCATTGAAATCGGTCGCTACCATCCAACTAACTTTGGAGTTATTTGTGCTGACATTTTCAAGCCGCAGTAAGCTTCCCGGTAGGTTTATCTCTTGTTTGTGTTCTGAAGGGAGAGAAGATCACAAGTTTGAAGTCACGTACCCTGACCGGCAGGTCTAGATATTGTACCGGTCAACTTTGTCGATCTCGACTTATGGTCTATTTATAGTTTATATTTTTCATTCTGAAAAGTTTGAATCTTGATCGGTCAGCTTTTGTGGACCTGGACTTGGACTGGGTCTTGAGTGTAGTGCACCAATCAATAAGCCCTCCACTTCTCAGCCTTGTAAATTTATCAAGGGCGGGAAGTGAAAACGCCCGTACGAGCCACGTCCACCGCCGCTGGTTTGTCCGCCGAGCGGCGGTTGGCCGCCGATTTGTTACTGTCCGCTGATTTGGCACGCAAGGAGGGCTGTTCCGGCTCCATCAATAGCGGAATTTCGTTGACGATCAAGGAGCATCAATACAGACCAGGTTTGAAGCGACATGGGTAGCGATTGTTGGAATTGCACAAAAGATGTTTGGGCCTGTAGATCTTCCGGTATGCCTCGGAGGAGTTGAAGCACATGTTGCGATTTTGAGACCGGGGCATCATTATCATCAAACCAATTTGCAATATTCTTCAATGTTTGACAATAAGTGGCCATGAGCGTTGTACCTTTGACTGTGGTGCGGAACTGATGTTCAATTTGCATCGCACGCTCGTGTTTATTATCATGAAACAGATCATGAATCAGACGTCAAAGATCGGTAGTAGCAGAAGTAGAGTAGATTATCAGATCAGAAACTTCATCCATGATAGTTGAAAGAGCCCATCCTTGAATCAGGGCGTTAAGTTGAAACCAATCCTCATCATCACTAGAAGAGGGGGTAGTAGATCCAGAGAGGAAGCCATGGAGATTGAATCGGCATACCAGAAATAAGAAAAGTCGACTCCATTTTTTAAAATTAGGTTGGGAGAAGCTCAGTTTAATTGGGATGTGAATTCTGATGTTGGAGATTGTGGTGAAGGCAAGGTGAGGGGCATTAAAGGAAGAGATAGATCTATAGTTTTATCGGAGGCCGAGGAGAAGGTGGCGAGGAGGCCGGCGCTAGAGTCCCGGCGAGAGAGAGAGCAGCCGGCGATGGTACCGACGAGGGAGAGAGAGATCGTTGGCGAAGGGGGGGGGGGAGGTGATGAGCCATTAGGGTTTTTCGAGAGGGTCCGATACAATGAAAATGAATATTTTACACGACTCATTTTGTGGGACTTTACATGTAAATATAAACAAAGAATCCAAATCCTACTATACTAATGGTAGGATATTATATAAGGAAACTAACTATAAAGAAAACTAGTTACACATGTTAACTACAATAATATAATAATAAATATATGGAATATATTTAACATTGCATTTGACTTTTCACGGTTTTTAATTCAATGATTTGACCGTTAATATCTCTATTTTTTTTAATAAATATAGAATATAAAAACATGATATTTCAAAAGTACATTTAAAAAGTAATCTATTATTGATATTAAATTTCTATGGGAATTCAACTCAATTTGGTGTAGGAAAGTAACATTATTATGTTTAGGAGAGAGGTAGTATCTTTTAGTAGCCTTGCCAAACCAAACCCTCTACTGTACGTACTCTTCTAGCCATCTATAAATAAATATAAAGTCCATAAGCGTTATTAGTGGTACCCTGCAGATCACATAATTAAAGAGAGAGAGAGAGAGAGAGAGGCGAGAGATGTTTTCATGGCGGCTTCTTTTCTTCATGGTGGTCTTCCGTGCACAAAAGTTTTCGGCTGGCTGCAGTGTGGATGGCCCTGCTGCAGCCTCATCAAATGCATCTCTCACACTGCTCAAAGCAGATGTGATGAATGATCCCATGGCGCCTGGTAAAATACGGAGTATATAATTATTATTATTATTAAGACCTTTAATTAGTATAAATATGATAAGGTTTTTTTATGTATGTAGTACCACTCATATATCCAATCTGATGTGCATTGTAATGTTTTATCTTATCTCTCGACGATGGTCATTACACGTACGGAGCAGTATGTCTGGATGGTACCCCGGGCGCGTACTACCACAGCCCGGGAGACGGAGCTGGAGTTGATAATTGGCTCATTTTCATAGAGGTACGACGTATATATAGTACGTACTTAATTAATTAATTAATTAGTAACGAACATAATAATTGTATATATATATATATATATATATATATAATGTGGCCTGGTATTATACATATATAGGGGGGAGGATGGTGTTCATCCGCCGAAGAATGCAAATCTCGGGCAACTTATGCACTTGGTTCTACCAACAACTCACTCCCTAGCATGAGTTTTGGTCACATTCTCAGCCCAAATGCCAATGGAAATCCAGGTGCATATATTATATATATACACTCCATCTCTTTAATTAATTAATTTAATTGTTGTCCCAATTTTATTTGTTATTTTACTCTCCTATATGTTTCATTTAGACTTCTGCAACTGGAACCGCATTTATGTTCGTTATTGTGACGGATCTTCTTTTACTAGCGGTGTTCAAGGAGCTGATCCCGTGAGTTTATCGATCAAATATTCATTATTCCTCTTAATTAGTTTCTTTAATTTGTCACTTAATTATTATACGGAGTATAATTTTGCTCTCGTAATTACTCGGTAATGTTTATGAGCCTTTTGGGATTAGCTGTTTGGAATGAAAACTTTAAGTTCGTTCCATTATTTAAGTTTTTGTATAAATGTTTAATTTTTGGGGTTTTAAATTCTTAGTGATTCTCAAATGCTTTGATTTTTCAGCGTACAAATGTGACTTACCGTGGGGCCATGATCTTTCGTGCAATTATGGAGGACCTGCTAGCAAAAGGAATGAGCAATGCTAAAAATGTGTGTATCATCCATACCATACCTTTCTTTAATTTATTATTGAGATGTTGATGACATATATAATTAAATGTGGTATAAATTAAAGTTGAGGTATGGCATTTAATTAATGGGGGGTGTGTACCCAAAAATAAATAGTAGTAATACGGAGTAATAATAATAATAATAATAATAATGGGGTGTCTAGAGATCAGAGAATGAAATAAAGTTGGGTAGTTGGTGTAGCGTTTATTTACTCATCAAACACAAAAAGAGATTTTGGCTAGCAAAAATCATCAATTTAAAATTTTAGCTTATTATGACTATGAAAATAAATGATTCGACATATTTATAGCTATATTTTTAATTTATTAGTTGGTTTATAACTAAATATAAAATGATTATGTTTAAAACATATGCAGTATATATATATATATATATATATATATATATATATATATGGTATGTACTTTTTTTAACCTAAGAGGCTTCAATGTTGGAAACTAACACAGAGTAATTCATTTGTATAGGCCATTCTTTCTGGAAGCTCTGTTGGAGGCTTAGCAGTGATTATACATTGTGATCGTTTTAGATCATTTTTACCCGCTTCTGCTCGGGTCAAATGCCTTGCAGACTCTGCCTACTTTTTACACCCGTAAGATTTACCTTTACTTTTATCTCGGAATTTTTTCCGGGACAAAGAATTTAACATGACTTGTTTTATTTATCACTTCAACAGAGAAAATTTAATTGGGGACAAATTGTTTGACACAACATTTGAAGGGCTGGTCAACTTACAGGTACTTATATACTCCGTAACATTATTCCCTATATCACTCATAAATCATAAAGGAAAAAAAGTTGTGGCGAGATATACGGAGAATAATTTTAACTAAAATTATTATTATTGTTATTATTATTATTATTATTATTGTTGTTGTTGTTGTTGTTGTTATTATTATCATGGTCCAAGGAGGCGATGGGGACTTGACTACAGGTCTGGCCTCTATTAAAACCCTAATAAATGCAAAAGAGATATATAATAAGTGGGGGCATTAGAAGTCACAACTCCCTTGCTATATATAGCACCCTTACTATATACGAGTAGCTTGTAATAAGTTGTATCCTGGCTTATTAATTAAGGTACGCAGACTAGCTAGCTGGAGATAAGAGGTCCCCAGGCTAAGTGGACAATTTATGTGCATTTTGAAATTAGGAAAGAAAATATTGAAACATAATAAAAGGAACGATTAATTGATATTTATTCTGAAAAAATTAGAACAATATATAATGGACCAAATTTTTTTCCACTTTGGAACATAATTTAAAAGTGATATGGACAATTTTTTTAGTTGACTAGAAATGAAAGGTGAAAAAATGTATCTCTCCGTTAAAGTTTAAAAAGTTTGATCAAGAAAGTCAATTTTAAGTCGGAGGGAGTAATTAATTATTTTAGGAGCGATCGATAAGTAATATGCAACATATGGCTAACTAATACTAGGATGAAAAGAACCCACATGATTTTTATGGCGAGAGTGTAAGAGTTTTGAACGTAACCAAACATATATTATAGCTCATCAATTGAACTAAATTTTGAATGTACATTTCTCTCATTTCATGATTATTCTTGTATACATCACTTGCTAAATTCTCAAACTTTTAAATAATACTCCCTCCGTCCCAAAAAGAATGGGACGGTTTGACTTTTTGGGAAATTAAGGGAGGGATATTTTGGTATTGACTTTCCAAAAATACCCTTGATGTGATGGGTAAAAGTAGGATATGATGGGTAGATTATTAGAAAAAAAGTATGATGTGATAGGTAGGGTATGAAAAAGTAATGGGTAAAAGTGGTTTTTTAATAGAAATGTAACGGACTTTACAGTACGCAGTTTTTTCTAAACGTAACAAACTTTTTGGGACGGAGGGAGTATAATGTTTAGTACTACGTGCGTATTAAGTTATTAACAAATATAATGAATTACCTTGCAGGGATCTGCAGCTATGCTACCATCGGCTTGCATTGCAAAAATGATTAAACCAAGTTTGGTATGAATTAATGATCAAAAAAATATATTTTAAATATGTAATTAATTAAAATAGTTTTTTTTTTGAATAGTTTAATACTCCCTCCTCCTCATACTTTTTTTTGTTTGATTCTTCACTGTCTCTAATGCAATACTTATGATATCTCAAAATAAATTTATTGATATTAAATATATATACCTTAATTCAATATTTTTTTTTCGTAATTTGTGTCCAGTGTTTAATAAAAATGTTTACGAGATATGAGTTTAACTTGAATTGGCAGTGCTTCTTTCCCCAATACATATTGCAAACTGTGGAGACCCCGTTGTTCATCGTCATGTCTTCATTTGATCTAATTCAGGTGAAGTTTTTCTTTTAAAATTCTTTATTGTCACATATTTACGTTTATGTACGTTTCAATTAATTATATTTCACCCGGGTCAAGCCCTATATGCTAAATTTACACGCCGTAAATCTAATTATTTTGTTTGCACTCGCATATACGTACAACTACTAGATCAAATTCAACTTGTCCCCGGAGCACGAGAGTTGTCTGTTGAATAAGAACTGTACCTTGGATGATGAGTTGGCCATGATTGAAGGTAGATCATTTTCTCTAACCAAACAAGTTAATTAATTATTACGGCGTGTATATATATATACTTCATCCGTTCCAAGAACTCGATCTTTTCCCATTCTTTTTTTCTAGTCTCACAAACTCTTTTTCTTTTCTATTAAAAAATAATTTTTATCCATATTAACTCTTAACTTAGCTATCAAATCCTACATTTTTACTAATAATCTACCTATCACACGCTACTTTTACCCATCATATCAAGGATATTTTTGGAAAGTCAACACGAAAATATTTCACTCTTAAATTTTTTCAAAAAGTCAAAATGGAAACATAGGACGATCTTGAGGACATACTTATCCTAAAAATATGTTTTGCCTAATAATAATAATAATATTAATTAATAATAATGCAGGACTAAGATTGGATCTACTTGCTTCATTGCCAATTGCTAGTCCATCATCATCCAGAGGCATGTGGATCACTAGCTGCATGACTCATGAACTTACAGTTTACTCTTGGATTGCTCCTATATTGTTGAAAATTGATGGAAATCGGGTAATAATATATAATAGTAATTCATTATTATTGTTATGTTTAACTTGAATTCATATGAAAAGATTAGCTAGCTAGCTAGTAATCTCTGCATGCATGCATGGGATATTCATATGAAAAATATTGAAGCAACCCTAATATATTCAAATTTTGGGTTTTGTATTGCAGACATACCCACAAGTGTTTGGTGATTGGTTCTATGATAGACGTGCCACACAAGTGATAGATATGTCCCCAGAAGCTAAGAACTGCACTCAGTATGGAATCCATATTAAACAATACTAGATATATATTGTTAGACAATAATACTAATATTACTTCTGACAGTATTGGTTATGGTAGTATTTGATTGCTAGTCAGCTTCTTGTTTCTATTTATCGTAAATGTTGTATTTTAATTAAGTTAGTCTACATTCTCTATTTCTATTTGTGTTAGAAGTCTCTTCTATATATATTCTAATAATGGTCCTTTATAACTGAGAATTTTACATATTTAGTCTTCATTTACCAAGTATTATATTTACAGACATTATTGATTAGGTACTCTTCCACAATTAGTCCTCCGTCAACAATTGCGCCTCCCTACAATTAGATGTAGGGTAATTATGCTATTTCACATTTTGCTTTCTCAAATCCCAATTTATGCCAAAGTGCAATTGACTAGGATTGTTTCCTCACCGGGATTTTTATCGTCGAGAAGTGACCGCGCGGTGGATTTCCGGGATTTTCATCGTCGAGTGTTTTCGATTAGCGTTAGCGTTTTGTGTAAAACGGTAACGGTGCGGATTAACTTTGAAAACACTAACGCTAAACGCTGCTCGTTGATAACCTTTTCAAAACGCTAACGCTAATCTCTATTGTTATTTCCAAACAGGCCCAAAGGCTAAAAGAAGAGTAGAGGGAAAGTGCATATACTATAAAAGGCTCTCTTCATTAATTAGTAGCAAGTTTCAACATTTAATAATCTCACAACAATCTTTCTTGAACAATTCACAATCCACCTGTTGAGTACATTTCCTTTGTATACTGGGAAGCAAGACTGGTACCCGCAGGCCTTCATAACCATAGTCAAACTTGGCTATATATATGCAGTTCTCTATTTTTAATCTTCTCTCTGCATCAATATCCGATGGAGAAGCATTCTTATTATTATTATTATCCACCAGAATTTGTGGCGTGTCCCGTGCTAATGTTAACAAAGGCAAAACAATAGCTAATATAAATACTACCACTATAGTGCTCTTGTAACTCATCTTTTATTTTTTCTCGTGTCTATTCTTTCTTGGCATGTTCGTTCCCTATATATGCATAATTTAAAAAAAATGAAATTTGCACTGAATATGATCATAACCGTTAATTGAATAAGATGAAGAAGTAACATAACCGTTCATGATAATTAAATGTATTTTATGATAGAATACGTAATTAATTAAAGACATTTTTAATGATCAAACATTCTATTGATGTATACAGTCTTACTATTTACGTAACGCAATCCAATGTTTTGCCTCGTTGTGTGAATCATTTTGTATAACTAGCTAGCTTGATCAATGGCCAGGGTCGGCCCCAGGGGCTGCAACATAGGGCTCATGGTCAACCGCATCCGATGTTCAAACTAGAGGTGACATAACTATATTATTTTATCAAATGGGTGACGAAAATAGGCCAACAAAGTGAATAAAGTTTGATCCTGCGAATAGTGAACGAGAAGTTTATTTGTGGACAAAGGAGTATGAATTACAACAACAACAACAATACTAATAATAGTAATAATAATAATAATAAAAATAATAATAACAATAACAATACTTATAATAATAATAATAATAATAATAATAATAATAATAATAATAATAATAATAATAAGAGCTCCCTTTGTTGACAATAATATTTGTTGTCATATTATGACAAACACCCCTATATGATACGGAGTACTTTGTTTAAAAAATTTATTGTTTCTACCTCTCTCTTCTCTCCTCCCAAAATGTTGAAATGTTAATAGCATTTTACCATTTTGGTGAGAAGTTGATAAGTTTGTTTCGTTCTTATTTTATACTTCAGATTTAATGCGTTTTGCTTAAATTAAATAAAATATATAAAGGTGTATTGGTTCATTTTTATGAAAATCCCTTTTCATTTGGATGAATTGTATAAACAAAGTCTGCTCGAACAAAGTTCAACAAATGAAGCAAAACGGAATCAAAATAGAGTCAAAATGGAGTTTGAAATTGCCACGGGAGGAAAAGTTGTTCACCACAAAAAATCGAGTGTAAAATTATGCAAAAAGGGATGAAGGTCAGCCAATCCATTAGGAGGACGACCGTCCCTCCACGACGACACCAACCCTTCTGAAGGACGGCCGGCGAGCAGAGATGTACGGTCTGTCCTTTGAAGGACGGCTGTCACCCACTGAAGGACAGCCCGATCGATTTTTGGAACTTCCCAATAGGTCACCCATCCTAAGACTACTCCTGTTCCAGCACGTTTAACTACAAAGTTTTGAAGTTAAAGAGATGTCAAATGCTTCCTAAAGCAAATTAGTGATTAGAAGGTAGACACTTGATTACATAAGTAGTAGGAAGTCATTTTTTAGAAAAATGATTTTATTTTATATAGATGAATGTTTATTTTCTTTGTAACTACTTGAGCCTCTAATTCTACGAACAAAGAAAAAAATATAACTATGTCACCTAATTTTGTAAAACTTTTGACCTTGTTTTTAAATATATATTTTTTATTATTTAATTTAACACGAATTAATTAACATACAAAATGAATTAAAACTAATTTCATTCAAACATCGTAACGAAAAAAATTTGTGGATGAAGAGAGTAGTTTTTAAAAAAATTCATACACTAATAAAGATTACAATAAAATTAATTAAAATTTGGTACTTTAAGTTCTTAAAAATATTTTTTAAAACAAATTTTCAATAATAATTCAAGAAAATAACATAAATTTATAGATCTTTCGATGTAGTATGTTTGAATATATAGTTGCTATCACTATATTATTTAACCAAAAAAATATTCAAACGCCAAAATTCATGTGTAATTTTTAAGATTAATGGCTATCGTCGGATAGTATTTTTAAAATATTAATGCCAAAGACTAACATTTGATAGCCTTTTGAAAACGTTAACGCTAACCTCAAATGCTGATGTCAAAACGAGGCCAATATCATTAAATTAAATATGAATTGCAGTAACATTTTAAAATATGAATATGAATTGGAGTAACATTTTAAAATATATGAATATGAATTGGAGTAACATTTTAAAGATCTCTTTACTTTTAACATTTATGAATATGAATTGGAGTAAATATGACTCTTTATTCACATACACTACTACATTAGTAAAGATCTCTTTACTTTTAACATTTAATTATCTCACAACAATCTTTCTTAAATAATTCACAGTTGACCTGTGCAGTACATTGGTTCTTGATATCCTCCAATAGGAGTGGTGACATATCCAAGCCTTCAAAAGAATAGTCAAATTGCGCAATAGCAATGCAATACTCTATCTTTATTCTTTTCTTGGTATCAACATCGTCTGTTGTATCTTTATTATCGACGAGCAGCGGCGGCGCGTTCCGTGCTAATGTTAACAATGGAAAAACAATAGCTAAGATAAATACCACAATAATAGTGCACTTGTAACTCATGTTTTATTATTTCTCCTGCTTTATTTCTTCTATATATTCTTTTTACTCTTGCAGGATATATATATATATATATATAGGCCAGTGTGATCGATATGTGCACACATATGTGTGCGTGCATGTTCCCTTTATATGCATAATAAAGAACCTTTGGTGAATTGAATAAGTTGAAGATTTCATTAACATAACCGGCCTTGATAATTAAATGCATTTTATGATAGACTAAAAAACGTAGTCCAATGTTGTTGCCCTGTTTATGAATTATTTAGTGGATGGTTCTCTGTCATTGTAAACTGGTTAAAATTGTTATACGTTATTTTTAACTTATAGCTGACATATTTTTCTGAACTTATAAACTGACTTGTAAGTTGCTGATAAACTAGAACAAACGGAGTAGGTCTTTCCAAATAATTACTTAAAATACTATTCTGATCTTCACATATTACGAATATTTCCAAATGATTTATATATCATTTAAGTTATTTAATTTACACAAGAATATTTGTGATATAAGCCGCTTATACGTTAAAAAGTTCTTATTAACAATAAGTTATTAAGCACCAACACACTACTACACAAAAATTATACAATGATTTAAAATAATGCATAAATTATACACAAAAATATTTGAAAATAAAATTTATGATTTTAAATAAAGAAAAAGGAAAAACCTTGGAGTCGAAGTGAGGAGACAACAGCAATGGCAACGGCGGGCGAACAGCGACGATCGAGCTTCGAGGTTGACAATGGGAGAACGGTGAAGACGAGAGAATATGAACGAGGTCGACGGTGGAATGGAGCTTAACGGTGAGGAGGTGGGGCGACGGTGACGACCTAGGGCGAGCACAACGACGGCAACGGTGAAGAAAGAAGAATGAAATAATAAGATCGCATAAGAGATATAGTCTAATTTTAACCAACCCTTTTGAATTTGGTTATGAGTAATAACCGACTCAAAAGCCTTTTAAATCAATTATTACTAATAACTGATTCAAAAGGTTTTTGAATCGGTTATTACTCATAACCGATTCAAAAGGGTCCGATTGGCAAAGTCCAGTACCCCATTTGCATCAATTATCTCTAAAATATATGCAAATGAGGTAGTTGATTTGACCATTTTTGTAGCAGTGACAGAGAAACACCCAATTAATAAAATGGTAAATCTCTGTGCTTATAAGTTGGTGCCAGTTTTTTGGTTTCTCCGGCCGCTTTGACTATATTAAATAATGGAATAGTTGTATTATTCAACGAATAAAATAATACTTCCTCCATCACAAAAAGATTTACACGTTTCAAAAAAATTGCGTCCCACAATCTTCTTCCCATTTCTATTAAAAAACTACTTTTACCCCTTACTTTTTCAAACCCTACCTATCACATCATACCTTTTTCCTAATAATCTACACATCATATCATACTTTTACCCATCACATCAAAGGTATTTTTAAAAAGTCAACACAAAATTATCCCTCCCTTAATTTCAACTTTAGTCAAAACGTGTAAATCTTTTTGGAACGGAGCTGAGGGAGTACATGACAGGGTACATATATAGTCAGAATTATAACCCAAATAGGAATAGGAATCAATAATGGAAGCTGACTTACATACAAAGACTCTCATAACTAGTACTACCATTATTATTATTATTATTATTATTATTATTATTATTATTATTATTATTATTATTATTATTATTATTATTATTATCACCTTGGCTCCCATGACATTGGTTTCTATTATGACATTGGGAAGTTTCCAATGTCATGGGATGACCCGGAGGTGCTTCGGTGTGCCGTTCGTGAAATTGACGGTTCCTACTCCCCCGAACCCTCCAGGTAAACCCCCCACTCCGCTCCGACCCGAACGCACCCCCACCCCCTTCAATTGCACACCACAAGTTGATTTTGATTTTGGGGTCAAAATTTTCCGTCGCCAAAGGCTTAATTCCGTATGTAGGAAAATGGTGTTAACTACGGAATTAACGACGGTAAGAGTCATTATTTTTTCGATGGATACATCTATTTGTACCCCGCAGGTTTGCACAAACACTTTGTGTTGGTGTAGAACTAATTTTTGTTAATACATAAACACTTTGTGTCCGTGTAAATTTTTGTTAACGCACCAACACTTGTGTCGGTGTAAACTATCAAAATGTTAATGTATCACTGCGGCGTACTAATGGGGTACAATTTTTGGTGTAAATGTATCATAGTCCTTTTTCGTTAGAATTGGGTTTGAGTTAGGTGGGGCCCATGCTATAACCGCGTTCCACAAACTAGAGTGCTATATATACTGTACTCATCAAGTAACTCAGTACTCTACAGCGAGCGAGTGAGAAGCAGATTAAGAAAGAAAGAAAAAAAAACAGAGAGCAATTTTAATTTAAGTTTGAAAAAAAGCGAGATGTTTTTCTTCCGAGAACGAATCGGCTTCTTTTCTCTCCTTTGCGTGTTCATAGTCGTCCCAAAGTTGGTTTCCGGCGGTGCTTGTGTTGATGGCAAGGCCCCTAACGTTAGTCGCACGTGGCTCAAGGTTAATGTCGGTGATCCAATGGCACCCGGTAATTTATTAATTAATCAATTATTTAATCAATAAATTAAGAAAGCCTTTAATCGGTACATATATATGGTATAATTTCAAGAAGGATAATATATATATTTATTTAATTAATAAACATGTACTGTATGGATTTTGTATAGTATGTTTGGATGGTACCCCGGGGGCGTACTACCATGACCTTGGGGACGGAGATGGCAAGGGTAATTGGCTCATTTTTCTTGAGGTAACTAACGTAATTTATTATTTTTGGAGTATAAATATATATAAATATGTGTGTGTGTTGTGGACTTGTGGTAATTAATAGTATGCGGAGGATTACATGCCATTTGAATGAATTAATTTGCATGCATGCATGCAGGGGGGAGCATGGTGCTTCAACGCCCGTGACTGCAAAGATCGGTCCACAGGTTTCCTTGGCTCTTCTAAAGACTATCCTCCTAACATGAGTTTTGGTCACATCCTAAGTAAAAACGCCAAGGGAAATCCAGGTGATCCAATAATATATACTCCCTATATAATATATATTGTTCTTAAAACACATCATCTTTCTAGACTGTACATATATACATGCAATTAATATTGACTGTTCGTTTGACTATATATGTGATGGATGTTTCATTCTTGCGGGCGGGTTCCTATATTGCAGACTTCTGTAATTGGAACAAAATTCATGTTCGTTACTGTGACGGATCTTCCTTTACGGGTGGCGTTCAGACAGTTGACCCCGTGAGTTTATCATTTGACTTGATTTATTTTATCTAATTTTTATATTGTTGTGTTTTAAATACTCTGACTTTTTTTTTTCAGGTTACAAATGTTACTTACCGTGGAGCGATGATCTTTCGTGCAATTGTGGAGGACCTACTGGCAAAAGGAATGAGCAGTGCTAAAAATGTGTGTATCATACATACCATACCTTTCTTTAATTTATTACGGAGTATTATTGAGATGTGGATGACACATATAAATAATAAATGTGGTATAAATTAAAGTTGAGGTATGGGCATTAAATTAATATGGTGTTTGTACCCAAAATAAGTAAATAATAATGGGGTACGGTGTCTAATAAAGATCAGAGAATGAAATAAAGTTGAGGTGTTGGTGTAGCATTTATTTACTCATCAAACACAAAAAATAAAAACTATACTACCAAAAGAGATTTTGGCTAGCAAAAATCATCAATTTAAAATTTTGGCTTATTATGACTATGATAATAAATGATTCGACATATATGTAGCTATATTTTTTATTTATTAGTTGGTGTATAACTAAATACGGAGTATAAAATTATTTTGTCTAAAACGTATGCAGTGTATATGGTATGTACTTTTTTTAACATAAGAGTCTTCAATGTTGGAAACTAATAATTCATTTGTATAGGCCATTCTTTCTGGAAGCTCTGCTGGAGGCTTAGCAGCGATCATACACTGTGATCAAGAAATAAAAATTACATATTAAAAAAGCTATGTCAAAAGTTCTAGAAAATAAGAGCTGATAAGAATATTTTATTTTATCAAATACTTAATGAAATCGCGTAAACAAACAAAAATTATCGAGAGGAGAGAGAAAACAAATTGTAATCAAATTTGGGACGGATGAAGTATATAATTTGTTAAATACTGCATATATATATATAGTTTGAAATCTATGGACTAGTGCATATACAGGAGGAATTGTATTTCATTGAGGAATTTACCTAAATGGCACTAAAACATAATGACTTTACCTAAATAGCACTACATGTATTTTTTCCCCAATGTAACACTTTTAGTTATTATTCAAGTAAATCTTTGCCATCACTGGTCATTATAAACATTATTAAGCACTCCGTACTATTTAGGGAATAAAATAACTTAGGTACTATTTAGAAAAATGACTTAAATTTTAGTGCTATATAGTGCAAATATTTCAAAAGATATTACGGGCCAACTCTAGTTGGGCCCCAACAGATCTAGTCTCCACAAGCCCAACACTACGTATTATGTTAACTTATGAATTACGTTGCAGGGATCTGCTGCAGTTCTACCATCCGCTTGTACTGCAACAATGATGAAACCAAGTTTGGTATGAATTAATGATAATGATTAATATATTTAAAAAGTTAAATATATATAAGCATTTCTCAATTTTTAAAATATTAAAATCCCGCCTTCAAATACAAAACTATTAATTATTTGGCCATTTAATTTGAATTGGCAGTGCTTCTTTCCACAGTACATAGTGCAAACTGTGGAGACGCCATTGTTTATTGTCATGTCTTCATTTGATCAAGTCCAGGTGTCTTCCATAACTTTTACTTCAGCTGGATATATTTCACCCCAAGTCTTAAATTAAATTTACACTTAAATATCTTATATTCTTTATTAATTTGAATGCATAATATATATTAGATCTCATATAACTTGTCCCCTGAGCATGAGAGTTGTCTTTTGAATAAGAACTGTACGTTGGATGAGTTGGCAATGATTTAAGGTGAGTCATTTTACAAGTTAATTATCCTCAAATTAAAAAAAAAAACTCGTATAAAAAAAGATTTGCCTATTAATTAATTAATTAATAATAATAATGCAGGACTAAGATTGGACCTACTTGCTTCATTACCCATTGGAAGTCCATCATCTTTTAGAGGCATGTGGATAACCTCTTGCATCACTCATGAAGTCACCGTCTACTCTTGGATTGCTCCACAATTAATGAAAATCGATGGAAATCGGGTATTAATATTTCATTACTTTTTTTTTTTACTTAATTATATACACACACGCACACACATATTTATATATATTTATATAAATAATTAATAGAAATAATGCCGTAAGTTGTGTATATATTGCATATTAATATGAAAAAAATATTGAAGCAGTTCTAATGTTCAATTTTTGTGTGTGTTTTGTATTGATGAAGACATACCCACAAGTGTTCGCGGATTGGTTCTATGATCGATCTGCCACTCAAGTGATAGATATGTCATGTGAAGCCAAGAATTGCACCCAATATGGACTCCGTATCAAGCACTAGCTAGCTCTTTGGAACTACGGCATCTGGATACTAGATCGACCACTATGTTATTATATTTCAAAACCACCAACAAACATGATCATGATTATTGTTGTTATGATTATTATTATTACTATTATTATTAGCTTTCTTTTTTTATCTGTCCCAAAAAACACTTCTCATTTCTATTAAAAAGTCACTTTTACCCTTTACTTTTTCATACTCTAACTATCACATCATACCTTTTTACTAATAATCTATCCATCAAATCATACTTTTACCCATCACATCAAAGGACATTTTTGGAAATTCAATACCAAAATACACTCCCCTTAAATCCCCCCTAAAAAGCAAATGTCCCATGTTTCACGGGACAGAGGGAGTATTATTTTGGAGACTTTTTATATATAGAAATAGTTTATTCCTTGAGTAGATAGTTTATTTAGAAGATACATAGTCTCCACAACGACCCATCTTCTCACTAGCTAGAATAAGTGACTTGTAGCTCGCGTTGAAGGAGGAAGACTCTGATGATGCGCGTGGCACAAACATCGGTCTCAATAACATCCGCGGTCCATTGAATTGAATATATAGAGCCTCATGCTTTAGCATATCGATTTGTGGGTAGCAATGTGTGAGTATTGATGCACAACATGCTTAATTGAGTGTCGTGTTACACGTGAGGAGATTGTTAGAGTATAAAAAACTACGAGTATCATATATCTACAATCACAAGTTTAAATTTTTCCTTGATGAGTTCGTTTTTTGACATTTATTGTCGAAAACTCTATTGTTCTTCCGAGGAGTTCTCAATAATGTTGTCACAATTCCCGTCACATGTAAACATGACGTGCTATTTGTTGCAAATTTTCCTCGCAAAATATTATGATACGGAGTAAAATTATACAAAAAAATATATTGTGTATATCCCAAAAGTTCCCTCTCATTACAAAGACCAAGTGTTTTTTTAATATACGAAGAGGAAACAACAAAAAAGTAAAATTCTACGTTTAACAAACTCCTTAATTATATTCTACGATATCTATGAATTGATCAAATATCAAACTACAGAAAGTAAACCATACTCCGTAATATATAGTACTCCCTCCGTACTACAAAATTTACCCATTTTGAATAATATTTGGTTAAAAAAGTACATACTTTGACAACAGAATTGTGAGAAAAGTATACTGAATTATAATATGAATTTGATATAATTGGATTCATCTTAGGATCTAGTTTTGATAGATCAAATTTTTATAACATTTCATTATTTAGATTATATTTAATTTATGGTCAAAGCATTTTTAAAATGCATCGACATTGAAAGTTTAAGAGTAAAATAATTCGGTCAATAAGCTCTTGAGTTAAACTAACTAATTGATTGGATTCAATCTTTTAATGTGGTTCAGCCCAAGTGTCTTATTGCCCAATCCAGTTATCTCTACCCAATCCTAAATTTTATCAAGCGTGTAACTGTTTTATTAAAAATATATCAAAATGGGTAATGTTTTGTAGGACAGAGAGAGTACTATTTTGTAACAAGCCAAACTAAGAATTTGATTTGGAATGGTGGGAGCATATTTTAATTGTTATTCTTCAAAAAAAATGAAATGAGATGTTAATTGATTGAAAATTTTGGAGGGAGTAATCATTGTATTATACAAGTTATGAGTTGTTTGCATTTACCATTAGGCTCGATTTGGTATACAAAATTTAAACTATAGAATTTGAATTGGGGACAACAATTCCAATTGTGTTATTTGGTAGCACAAAAATATGTGGCTATAGAACTGGTAGTCTCAAAAATGAATTAGAATCAGAGAATTGAAGTCAATTTCATCCAAATCAATTCCATAGAATTTTAACTTCAATTCAATTCTAATTTCGTCAATTCTATGTACCAAACGGACCCTTAGAACAAAATATACGTAAGCTTTTTATGAATTTAACCATATAACATGTGTATGTTAAGCTCCTTCGAGCAAAGATGTTCTAATATTAAGAGACTCTTACAAGAAGGTGAATAATGAAGTACGTACATTGAACTGCGTTATGTACACCTAATACTATTAATATCAGAAATGCCATTAATTATTATTGTTATTATGTAGTAATGAATTGGTAACACTACTTACGTTAAGTTAATTTATTATCTTATTCATCAGTTCACCATATATATAAGGCCAAATAGACAATCAAGCAAAGGAGCTAGCTCTAGTATAAATCTAGAAGAAAACTATACAAGAAATATAAACAATGACTTACAATAAGCACATTGTGGTGGCTTTTATGTTAGCCATCATTTTTCCTTCGTTAATATGGGCCGAGGATTCGCCCCCGGCCGATGATAACGATCTTTATGCGGAAAGAGCGGAAAAAATACAAAATTGTATGTATTTTACAATGTATGACATTCTTTATGACAACAATATTATTTCACCACACCAGAGGCACGTTATCAAAGTCAAGTGTGTTGCACAGGCAAATTGCGAAGTGTTCAAAACAGATTGCACGACTGATCAAAGCAACGATGGTTAAATTAATTGCTACAATTTGGAACTCCATTTTGTTAATTAAGTTCGTGTGGCTGTTTATCATAAGTAAAATTAAGAATTAAAAATTCTATTAATTACCCTTCCGTCCATTATTATTACATGCTTTGGACAATGATTTTAACATCTCAAAGTGTTATGCTTTCAAGCATTTATGGTTGATGAGCTAGTTCGAGACACTTGCTTTTTTGGATGAGCTTTATATTGTTGAAAATATTTTTCATATATGTCCGTTTGGTATGCGAAATTGATGGAATTGGAATTAAAATTTCATGGGATTCAATTCCATAGAATTGAATTCATCGATTCTAATTCATTTTTTTACACTACCAGTTCCAAATCCACATAATTTTTGTGCTACCAAACATGAGAATTGGAATTGAAGTCCTCAATTCCAATTCCATAGTTTGAAGTTCGTGTACCAAACGGGGCCTTATTTTAATTTGGAGCTTAGAAAAATGGCCGATAGACTTTCGTAGTGTGATTCATTTCTAGTTTAATTTTTTGAAGATAAGTAGTAAAGAATGATCAATCAAAGCCGGAAAAAAGTCGGAATAATGTCCCAATACATCATATGAGCTTGAGAATAGGCCTTCGAAGCTCGAAGATGGGCCAAAAAAATTTGAGGAACGGGGGAAATAGAGGCCAAACAAGAGATAAAATCATGAAGTAACAACTTACACTCATTAACCAAAAAGCCAAAGTAAGACCTGGGAGTTGTAGGCGATTCCAGATAAATTAAAAAATAATTATTATACTACTCGCTCTATCCATAAGTACTCCGTAAATGGCATGTGCAGTATTCGCGTGGTCGAATTTTATTCAATTTTTTTACTTATTATGATATTTCAAAAATACATTTAGAGACTAAAGTAATCTATTGATATTAAATTTCTATTGCAATCTATGATATTACATTTAGGAAAATAACATTCTTTTTAAGACAAAGGGAGTATATTTTACTAACCTTGCTAAACCAAACCCTCTACTCTACTTTTCTAGCCATCTATAAATAAAGTCGATAACTTAGCTACTCCATCTCCCGACAGCATTAGTTGTACATTGCAAATCACATAAAAAGAGAGAGATAGAGAGAGAGGGAGGAGAGAGATGTTTTTTGGATTAGAAGATAGAGTTGACATGTTTTCATGGCTTCTTTGCGTCATGGTCGTCTTCCTTGTCCAAAAGATTTCGGCTGGTTGTGTGGATGGCTCTGCCGCCCCAAATGCATCTCTCACATTGCTCAAAACTGATGTGAGTGATCCCATGGCGCCTGGTAAAATTATTATTATTATAGAGAACTTTAATTAGTATGGTATATTGTTTATATGTATTAGTACTTCTTATATATCTAGAAATATTTGCAATAAAACTTATTAGCAAGGGAGTTGTGACATCTAATGCCCCCACTTATTATCTCTTTTGCATTTATTAGGGTTTTAATAGACGACAAGCCTATGCATGGTCAAGTCTCCATCGCCTCCTTGGACCATAATAATAATAATAATAATAATAATAATAATAATAATAATAATAATAATAATAATAATAATAATAATAATAATAATAATAATATATAAATGTTGTACCAAAGTGTAAAGAACATTGATTAATTTGTCAATTTTTTATTTATGAAAAAAAACTCTATATATAAGTACCTGTGAGTCAACCAGGGCTTAAAATATATTGTCAAACATCTTGTCCCCAATTAAATTTTCTCTGTTGAAATGATAAATAAAATACTCCGTAAGTCATAAAGTTAAAAGTTTTGCCCTAGTAAAAAACTCAGAGATACACTTTGAGAACGTAAAGGTAAATCTCACGGCGCGGGTTTAAAAAGAAGGCAGAGTCAACAAGACATTTGACCCGAGCAGAAGCGGGTAAAAACGATCTAAAGCAATCACAATGTATGATCTCTGCTAAGCCTCCAGCAGAGCTTCCAGAAAGAATGGCCTATAAGAATGAATTATTAGTTTTCAACGTTATTGCATCATCAATGGCTGATTTAATATCTCCCGGCTGGAAAGAATTAATTCTACATTTTAAATCCCCTAAAAAAAAGATTTACACGAAATATATGCGCATTTCGTTTCAAAGTAAATAAATGTACCCCAACTGTATTTCATTATTTGATCTCTTTAATGTCAACATTTTTTTGAGACATCTCATTAATGTCATATATAAAAAAAAAGAAATTAAAGGAAGGTATGGATGATACACACATTTTTAGCATTGTTCATTCCTTTTGCATGAAAGATCATGGCTCCACGGTAAGTCACATTTGTACGCTGAGAAATTAAAGTACTTCCTCTGTCCTAAATTATTTGCCACATTTGTATTTCCGAGGTAAAATATCAAATTTTTTCAATTCATTTTATTTACATATTGGTATAAAAATAAAAAATAAAATTTACATATAAAAAAACTACATGAAAAGTTCTTCGAAATAAGAGGTGTCAAGAATATTTTATTTTATCAAATAACCAATGAAAACATCGAAATAAACAAATGTTCCCGCGACTGCTGAAAAAGCAAATGTTGTGAATATTTAGGGACGGAGGGAGTATTTGAGAATAAATAATCTTTAAAACACAAAAGGTTAAACATACAAGCTAGCTAGGTAAAAAGCATTGATGATTTCAAGTGGATACTAACTCCGTCTCGGAGTATTTGTTTAATTTTGACTTTTTTCATTCAATCATATTCAACTTTTGATCTATAATTAAATAAAATACTCCCTCCGTTCTCAAAAACACTTCCTCTTTCATTTTTTCCACTTCCAACAAAATACTTCCCCTTTCTATTAAAAAATCACTTTTACCCTTACTTTTTCATACCCTACCTATCATATCATACTTTTTCTCTAATAATCTATCCATCACATCTTACTTTTACCCATCACATCAGGGTAAAATTGGAAATCAACTATAATTTAACACTTTCTTATTTTTGCCCCCAAATCAAATGGGAAGGGTTTTTTCAAATGGAGGGAGTATATTTTATTTATTAATTCGATAAAATAGTATTTCGAAAATAATTTATGTAATAAATCTAATAAAATTATTTTTGCATCAATAACTAAAATTATTTTTATTTAATTCATTTGAGGTCAACGCTTACCAATTTTGACAAAAAAAGATACTCCCTCCGTTTCTTAAAACCCTTCCTCTTTCATTTTTTTTTGTTTTTCTTAAAACACTTCCCTTTTCTATTAAAAAACCACTTTTACCCTTACTTTTTCATACCCTACCTATCACATCATACTTTTTCACTAACAGCTAAACCATCACATCTTACTTTTACCCATCACATCAAGGGCAAAATTGGAAAGTCAACTACAATTTAACACTTCCTTATTCTTCCCCAAAGTCAAAAGGGGAATTGTTTTGAGAAACGGAGGTAGTATAAAAAAAAGAAAGAAGACAAATACTCTAGAGTAGGAGTAATTAGCTTAGTATTACGAGATAAAAAGGTACACCAAGTTTAAAGTTTAATCATACATACGAGATGTAAACATTAATTACGAGAGCAGATTTATATACTAGTAATAATTAAGTGACAAAAGAAAGTAATTAAGAGGAACAACGAATATTTGATAAACTCACTGGATCCGCCCCTTGAACACCGCCGGTAAAAGAAGACCGGTCACAATAACGAACAAAAATGCGGTTCCAGTTGCACAAGTCTAAAACATATAGGAGAGTAGAATTTTCATCCATACACAGTAAAATAACAAATTAACCGCACACAAAATACTAATTAAAGGTCTTAAAAATAATAATTATTTTACCAGGCGCCATGGGATCATTCACATCAGCTTTGAGCAATGTGAGAGACGCATTTGGGGCTACAGGGCCATCCACACAGCCAGCCGAAACCTTTGGGAAATGGAAGACGACCATGACGCAAACAAGCCATGAAAACATGACAACTCTATATTCTAATCCAAAAAAACATATCTCTCCTCTCTCTCTCTCTAATTAAATCTCTCTCTTTTTATGTTATTTGCAAGGTACAACTAATGCCGTTGGGAGATGGAGTAGATGATTTAGTTATGGACTTTATATTTATAGATGGCTAGAAGAGTACGTATAGTAGAGGGTTTGGTTTGGCAAGGTTGGTAAAAGGTACTACCCCTCTCTTAAAAAGATTGTTACTTTCCTATCTCCACCCACCTCTCAGCGAATTGCATTGAATTGCAATAGAAATTTGATATCAATATATTTTTTTAAAATAAATATAGTTTTGAAATATCATGTTTTTATATTCTATATTTATAAATAAATGGATTAGAGATATTATTAATAGTCGAAGGGTTAATTAGAAACTGTGAAAAGTCAAATGGAAAAAAAGATATGGGACGAAGAGAGTATAAAATTAAATTATTCTCCCGTCCGGGAAAGATCTTTCCCTTTGACTCTTGGTCAAAGTTTATAAAAATATATATACTTTGTGTGTGTATATATATATATTTTCCCAATAAATTAAAAATATACTTCGTATCATTTATATTAAAAATAGAAAAAACATAATATTGACATGAAAAAAAGAATAGGAAATCAAAATAATTTATAAATTATAGTTATGAACATAGTAATAATAATAATTTCTCAAATGATAATAAAGTCCGATATTTAATTTAGTATAATCAGAAACTTTTGATGAAACTCCTTGACGAAAAGTGTATCGCCAAATTAAATAATGCATCATTTAAAAAAGGATCGGATAAATCTAGGTATGTCAAGGAACCAACTCAATCAAAAGCTCAAGCTTGTGGTTGTGGCTCAGAAAACGTTTCTTATATTCTAACACGCTCCCTCACGTGCAGGCGTAGTTTTTTTCGAGCCTTGCACGTGAAAACTTAATTTTTTTAAAACTGGATGGCGCTGACCATGAAACGTTTCTTATATTCTAACAAGGTGTAAATCAAAATGGGGTACCCCATTTGTGTCTGTATTTATCTGTGTTTGCCTTGTGTGCAAATGAGATATCTCATTTTAGTGTACCCTAGCATGTCTCATTAAAAAAAATCAGAAGATCATTAATTAATAGTACGTACATTATGGGGCCAGAAGCATGATGTTTGTTTAATGTCATTTTGCAGTTTAGAGTTATGCAAGCTTTTGAGAAAACTTTTGTTATGCTGTTCTGCAGGAGTATATTTATAGAAAGGGCACATGCAATGTGGAGCTGTTTACCACTGGTCCATAAGCTAGCTTTGTAAACGCCATTTAGTATACGGGTGGGGTTCCCATGACATTGACTTCCAATGTCATGAGATGATCCAGGGGCGTTCCGGTGCCCCGTTCGTAAAATTGACGGTTCATACCCCCCCTAACCCCCCTACCCCGCCCCGATCCGAACACACCCCCTACCCCCGTCAATTGCACCCCACAAGTTTAATTATTTACTCTCTTCGTCCCAAAAAGATGGTAACAATTACTGGTTTACTGCTTTGATGTCTCAATAACTTTTGTTTATTTACTTGTTTTGGTTGACGATTTGATAAAATAAAATATTCTTGTCATATCTTATTTTGTAAAACTTTTGATGTACTATTGAACGGTGTAATTTTTGCTTTTTATTTTGTGGGGGACTTACTGCGGGGTTGGAGTGGGGGTGCAGGGGTAGGGATGGGGGTATGTATTATATGTAGATGACTTTCGAAAAGTATGTTATAAAAAGTACAAAAAAGAATTCTAATTTTGATTTTTAGCAAATTCAAAGTGAGTGTATACTGCAGATGACTTTTCTAATTTTCTCTTTGGACATGATTGGTAAAAGTAGAATTTGATTGATAAGTTAATAGTGAATAGATATAATCTGATAGGTTATATAAGAATTAGTGGGGATAAAATAAATTTTTTAATAGAAACTTAAAATATTTTATGGAAAAATGACTAGTAAAAATGGAATTATTTTGTGAAATAATAACAAGAATATACTCGTATATAATACAGTACAATAATACGTTGCACCAATAAAGTTAGTAATGCTCAACAAAAGATTTTTAACTGAAAGTGTATCTCTTTTAGTACTATGTAATAATGAGCTAGCCACACAATTAAAATTAAAATGAGGCTTGTAATCTAGTGACAACCCTTTTTGTACAAGTCAAAATTCACAATTCCTCGGCATAAATTTTTCATAATCTTTAACTGTTCTGGTGTAAATTAATGTCGTAAATATAACCACTGTAGAATTGTCTTAGATGATCCATGCATTTCTCCATTCTTTCTTCAAACTCTCTTGCATTGCTATGATCATCATGTGTATCTAACTCACTGATGGGTGATGGTGCATCTTGTGCAAATGCAACAAGGAAAGAACAAGAGCTAATATAAATAGGACACCAATAATGTGCTTGTTGTTATAAGCCATAGTTTAATACGGAGTATATTCTTGTAAATATTTAATTTGCTTCTAGTGTTGGGGTATGTATGTGAGCATGAACACTTTATTTATGTTTGGAATAAATATATACTCTAAAAAATATAGTGAATTTAGTTAGCCTTTAAAGGTTAAACGCATTATTAATTGAGTTACATGTATTCGTTACCTAGCAATTAATGGCAATAGTAATTATAAATCTCTCTCAAACTATTATAGTCATGTCATCGCTAGTTTTTTAGATCTTTTGATCTTATTTTTTGATATGTAATTCATATTTTTTAATTCTACATCATTTTTCGTATAAAATGATTTAAAAATAATTTCAGTCAAACATCATAAACCGAAACATGCAATATAAATTGGAACGAGAGGAGTAATTTTTTTAACTCTTATCATTAAAAAAATCTTTATTTCTTATTCAAGAACAGTTATTTATGAAGTAAATGAAATTGTAATTGATTTTATTAATAGCATCATTGGTGTATGCCTTGTGCGATGGGGTCGGACCGTCTGTCCTAAGAGCACTGGTAAAACCTGTGAAGTCCTGGGGCTTCAATCTTTTTTTTTCTGCCACATCAGCTTTAACTGATAGAAAGTTTTTAATTTTTCTTGAATTTTCTACATACTCCGTATAAATTAGAGTTTTTGAGTGATTTGTTATTTGGATTATAAAATTGAATTCGAGCAGATGAGAATGCACGAAGAACCCTCTGTCAAATTTAAGTTCATTTTTCAAGATTTTGTAAGGGGAGGGTAGGCACTTAAATGTCTCTTCATAGTTTTCAATTTGGCCAATAAAAAAAACTCTAATTTTTTTAATGAACAACAATTCTCTATAATAATTTTTACTTATGTTTAATGTCTTTGAATCTAAATTTTGTTCTTTTAACAGAATTTAAACATCTGTGAGACAAACATGATAACACTTGACCATTTTTAAATGTTTATGAGACAGACACATATACTTTTATCTGTGTCAATTTTTAGAAAATTTTAGTGATATTTCTCTAACTTTTAGTCATTTAAGAGATCGATGTCTATAGTTGCCCATGTTTGGAATTCATAGACTTTTACTATCCGTGGTTTTATTAATTTGTGTATTTCTTGTTTGATGAGGTTGTTTGACTTCAAGTATAAAATTATTATCTTGATTAACTATAGAGTTTACATACATTCACCGGACATTAAACATCTGTAAGAAATCCTAAATTCACGGACATCTTGATTTACTATAGAGTTTACATACATAGAGTTTAACTATGTAGAGTTTACACACATTAAACCTATTGATTACATAAGAAATCTTGATTAACTATGGAGTTTACATACATTCACCCGATATAATACCATAGAGGGATTAGGACTTTAGGAGAGGGAGAAACTATCAATTTTACAAACAGACCACTGTAGATGTCCCAATTGGGCGAGTGGCTTCCGTAGCCACTCTTTCTGAGTGGCTTAGAACCCAGCAGAAAAATGTAGGAAAAATTTCATTGAGAATAACACTCCTTAGACTCTTGTCCAAAAGTCACACACGTAGGGTAAGAGGTAGGGTAAGGTGGGTAAATGAATCCAACCCAACTTTACTTTACTTTACAAAGGTAGTTAGTTACACTTTGAACTGTAAAAAAATGAGGTAAAATGAAATTAATTGAGGTACAGAAAGGTTAGAAATGAAATAGAGGTGAGAGTTATGCCAAAAGCTCTAATTAACATTGTTATGCAAACTGTAATGAGTATTACCGTACAATTACTTGGGCATTCCAGGCAAATCCCACATGGTTAAACTATCCACAATTCAACTAAATCCACCATCTGTAATTTCCCTAACATGGTCAAAAACAAGAAGAAAAAAAAATGTGAAGCCAAAGACACCATTTCTCAGGCACATCAGTGACGGGTCCCAACTCGAAACGAATGTCAAGAACTCTTGAGATTTTGGTCTTCCAATATACTAATCCTCGAACCCGAAAAAAGAATATTTTTTGAAAAAAAAAAGATCAAAGTCGCGAGCGGTAACCATCTTTCTATTCTAAAAGTTGCAGCAATGGGCTTGGCCGAAATTGAGCAAATTGTCCCACAGGCAAAACATTTGCTGTGGAGATTGGTAATGTGCTGTAATGTAATTCTCCATACATCCATACTGACAAAACTTCCAGTCATGAATGTACTCAACAGGTCTTGTGTTGTTGTACTTCTCTACCCACATTCCCATGCTCACATCCTCCATTTTGAATAGCTGTTGATTTATGTAACAGATTCATAAAATGTGGGGAAATTAAAGTGTAATCACAAGTTAATCGCTTAAGGGGGTGGATTTACTAACCCTTAAGTTGCTGTTTAGATGTTCAGAGACTATATATTTAGCAATGTCTCGGGATATAATGTATCCGGGACCATTAGCATAAGGAGGATACACATCTTCTGGCCACTCCTGTTGTGTTAAAAAGACCAACAAGGGGTACTAAATAAGAATGGAAGAAAGAAAGAATGTCAGCTAAGCAACTGGGAAGCCACTCTGCTAATGTTACCTCAAATGTAACAGCCCATTTTCCGTGTCTAAGAGGCCGGTGCAAGAAATTAATATTGCCCAGGTAAGCAGACTTTGGTGGACGAACACGATCAATTTCTTTCAGAACGGCGT